AAAAACTATTAATGAAATTATATTACACTGTCAAATATAGTATCTTATATTTGAAATACTCCTGTGTTTATATCATACTGTGTCACAACTTGATCCAATGACAGATGACTGACTCATTAGCTTCAAGAGAAGCAAGGCAGGATACAATTGTAATTAGTATACTAAATTGCAAGGGCCAAGAAAAAGCTATAGTAGCAAATAGAGACTATAGATAGAAATAGAGAACTTGCTTTCAGAACAGGTTCTATTGTAGGTTACTCAAAGTCCATAATAAGGGAAGAAGCAAGATAGCCATTGATCATCATTCAGTTGCTTTGGCACCTGCATAAGAAAAACTACATAGGCAAAGTATGATACACGATAAACAAAAAAGAATCACAAATTTTCAAACACAAATAACTCTTAAATGATTGATAGACATACTGAAAAGTTAAAATGTAAGTAAACTGCAACGCTTACTAAAATAAGTCTATTATTAGATAGCATACAGAAGCAAACTGTTAGGACTTTAAAAGATATATCACACAGGACAGTTTCATTTTGAACGTACTCATGAAAAATTTAGGTAATAAATCCTCAGCAAATAGTGGGTATACATACAAGCTGGGTCCATTCTCATCATGACCAGCAATCAGAAGAGATACCCCAAAAGGTTGTGACTGCACCAAAGTTGACTATTTAGAAACTCTCATATTATCAATCAAAAGTTTGATGTTTAACATTACAATCAAGTATCTACTACTCTGCACTACTGAATATGCTGCAGAAACAAGTTTGCAAGTACACAGTCTGCTCTCTAAATGGCTGTCAATACTTCCTATGTTCAACAATCCTACACAGACCACTAAAGACAAGGAGCTCTTCGTGATGATACCTAGAATCCCAATAGAGACTGCACGTGAACTGAGAAAACCAGCACATGTGAACCAAACTGGAGTCCTCAGTTTGGTTATGTCTGGTCCAGTTATTGCATAAATTGGTTCACTTTCAATTCTGACTAATTAAAAAAAATACAACCAGTTCGGTTTCAGTATTGCGGGCCAAAATACCGTATAGACTGAAGTCAACAGAATCATATCTGCCCTTGTATGTTTTCATTTGTATGGTTCTCAAAAGATTTAGCATGGTGATGACAGCATAATGAATGAATCAGAAAGTTTTTGAAGGGATCCTTTATGTGTCCAAGGACTATTAATTGTCTGAGATGAGACAGCTTGTAAAGCCACTAAAGTCTCTCTCCATCTCTATATATTTCATCTCTGCGCCTCTTCAAGGAAAAAAAGGCACCCGATAACACAAACTGTAGCTTTGGTTTGGTGAGCAAAATTAAACCAAATACACACCTAAAGACTAGTTGATAATAAAAAACGCTTTTGATCTTCTCATTGCTTTTTTGCTAATTTATGCAGCCCTAATCAGCATCCCAAAATTTTAAATTTACACAAGACTGAAACAAAAAATAATACTATCACAGTAACCATCATTGTTCCAGGAAATAATCTATTGAATACTGAATATGCTGCAGAAACAATCTAATCATTGTTCCAGGAAATAATCTATTGAATACTGAATAACACAAAAGCTAATTAAGAAGTCACATGATACACAAAAGTTATATGATGCATAAATAAGCACATAGTTCATGAAAGCTATATGCTACCTTGATTAACCACATAAGAAGCAGCTCTTGACATTGATAATAAGATTTATATTGGATTAGCACAGATTACTTTGATGGAGTTTCTAAAGAGTCTCCACTACGGAGATTTCTTAACAGGCATTCTTAACTCAAAGGCAATCCTTCACGGATATATGCCAACCAAAATGTCTTCATCTTCATAAACAAAAACCACAATAAAAAGGACATAATTTGCACTCCACATCAATACTGCCAGAAATTAATTGGTAGGAAGGGTTAATGATGCCAACCATGGACTCTTCATCTCCTTCACCAAATCGAAGAGCAAGGTCACATAGCGCTTGGGTGGTGGACTCAACAGTCATTGGCTCCCCATAGGAAAACCTGTGATTCTGATGAATAACTAATTCAATAAGTACTGACAAATCGTATCAGCTGCATCAACCTAAATGTCATCAAACAAAAATAGAAGAGACCTAAGTTTCAACACGAGCATATTCTACAAGAGTTCGTGCATCAGCTATCAGTCCACTCATTGCACAACCTATGTGTTCATCAATCTCCATAATCTTCTCCACACTGCTTGGTTCCTTCAAAACCAAAACAGAGTCAGCGTTGAGAGATGAGGTAGCAGCTAAAATGATACAAATAGTGTAAATGAAATTAGTCTAAAAGCATCTGTGATTTGGCAAGAATGTACAGCTCATACAAAAAAACAATATTTCGGTAATCAAGAATAACAAAAACTTGTGCATATTGAGTAGCCACACTAAGATAACTCTATTGAGGAACATGTAAAAAAAGGGAATGCAATTCAAATCTTTTTCAAGAAAGAAAGTTAAAGAATGCCGAAAAACCAAGAAGAATCCAAACCCTAATCACACAAACAACCATTAGCAAAGATAAATTTTTGGACTCCATAATGGAACCCTCGAAAGAAAAGGGAAGGTTCAACGAGCAAACCAGCAAGGGCGAGGTCACGCGCTTCTCAACGGCGAGCACGACGCCTTCGTTCGTCCTCAGCCCAATGGCAGTCGAACCCAGCTGCCACCAGAATCCAAACCCATTCATTCATCACCAGAACAAAGATTCAACAACCATCCGGTTTCGAGATCCCAAAGAGAACAAAAAAGGAAGGAAAAAAAAGAGGGACAGGGAGAGAAGCGAAATCCGACCTTGATGGCCTCGATGGCGTACTCCACCTGGAACAGCCTCCCCTCGGGGGAGAAGGTATTGACGCCTCGATAGTACTCGGTCCTTCGATCAAGAACCCAACGAGTGAAGCAATGAGCGACCCATCCGACTCATCAGTGGCGAGCGAAAGAAATCGCCCGAAAAACGAGGGAGGCAGAGGGAGCTCACCTAGTGAGGAACATCTCTAAAATTCTGTGCGAGAGGGAGAGAGAGGCGAAAACGGGTGGCGGTGATCGACGCTTCTTCAGTGTACTCTTCGGATCCGCCGCGGCGGGGCTACAAAGCTCTCGATGTGCTCCTCTAACATGGCTTCCCCGCACGCAAGCAAGCAGAACACATTTCTCAAGCAAGCACATCGTCGCACGTGATCTGCACGTGCGTATTGGACGTGAAGTCATCCTTCTTTTTTGGAAAAAGGCATGAAATTTAATTTTCTTTTATTTAGATAAATGAGTTATCCTTTCCTCTCAAATTAAAAAGCTTCTACCATTTTAAATTCTCATATATTGAATAAATCACATTTAAGTAATTAAGGAAGATCATTTATAAGAAAATTCAAGAAATTTAATATTTATAAAAATACTATATATTTAAAATTATAATGCTTATGCTAATTTTTAAAAGAAAAAAATTGAAGAAATAAGTTATAGGTTAATAACTTTGCTTTATTTTGATAATGTAATTTATTTATTTATTTGTGTGAATCTATTAAGTTTTATTTATATTATATTATTTGGTCTACGTAACATGACATTCGAGATTATGTATGATTACGTACAAAAGATTCCTTTTTAGTTTTCTTTTCGTATTTATATCTCTTATCTTTAGGAGGTTTTACTATGCTAGCATGTTTTTTGAAAAACTCTATCTATTCGGGTGTGGACGATGGGTATTGATAAGGGTAATAATGACGACATGACGCACCACGACGTCAGCTATGCCTGGATGACACTCTGCCCCAAAGAGGGCAATAATGCCGACGCAATGTGCGCTGACGTCACCCGCTCTCAGACAACGACTTCATCATTGCCTGACCCAATATGCTTGGCTGAGGCAGAGGAGAACGACGAGAGTTTTTTTTGAAAAACTCTATTTATTCGGGCGTGGATGGTGGGTAGTTATATATTTCTTAATTTGAATAGGACTCTTACGATTGAGTATTATTTCCGTCAACTATTATCTAAAAATAATCAAGTTATTAATAATCGGACGAAATCAAGAAATAACCCGTTACGTGCAAAATTATAGATCGACGATGTTAAAATTCTTTTTCTGCTTGTTACAGTTTGGTGTTTCAGTGATCTGTACCGATCAGGTTGTTGCACGAGTTGATGGATCTGCAACATTTGCTGACCCATGAATCAGGCTCATTGGTGGAAACATCATGGCAAATGCTTCTGCAACAAGGTTCTTTCAAGATGATCAATCTTTCTCTTGCTATGCATTTCATCATCTCAGGTTTGTTGCCCTTCGCAAGGAATGGAGAAAACATTTCTAGAGTTGCAAGTTCTCCATGTTTCGCAGAAGCCGAATCAAGATTTCAGATTTCTTCTGATGGTGTTGCGGATTAAAAGATGGATCAGTGAAATATCTATCTTTGTTATGTTGCTTGGTTATTAGCCCACCAGCAGCGATTGACTTACTACTTTCCGATCTATTACAGAAACCTCCCGAACCATAAACCTTGGAATCATGAGAGGATCATTCCGTGTTTGATTCGTTGTGTGGCAATGCATGCTTGCCAACAAATGTTGTGTGGCAATGCACTTTTATGTTTGCTGTATTGTTGAGCTTGAACAACCAAGGCTGAAGTGAGAAGAATTGGAGAAAAAGGAGAGAAGCATATCGAATGCCATGAAAATATACAAGTAGTATCTGAAAGCAATCAGATCTCAAGGAAACCAGGAAATATCTATCTTCTTAAATCACACCATCTTCGTATAATTACATCGATGGAGTAATCACACAAGGCCAAAGAAATTGTTTTCCATGCCCCTGCTGCTTTCGAATACCGATCCTCATGCCAGATAAAAACACCATTTTTCACAATCCTGGCGCATAGAATGGTGATCATGATTCAAGGATGATGAATTGCGATACAGAGTGTATAGATCAGAAGTTACAAACACTTGGAAAGAATGCAACTCACTGGCAAAGAGTTAGCATCTGCCGGCAGTCTGTTATAAGGTATGACCTCAATCAACTGTTTTTATTGAAGCCAAACAGGTTCCTCCTCTACAAATACATGTCCGAGCATGCACAATTCAGCTAAATACTACGCTAAATTTGTGGCATATGATATGACTAGCCCTCTCTATATTGTGGAAATCACAAATGTTTAAAGGAATATGAATGGCGATGTGAGACCTATGATTATAAAGGACCAGAAAAAGAATTATGATACTGTAAGAAGGAAAACTGTTGTTTACATACATCTTAAATGAACCTAATTTCCTTCTGTTGTGGCTCCCTGCTGGTTTTCTTGGCTGATTTCAGCGTCCGGCTTGTTAGGGATACCGGTAGGTGGTGACCACTGTTCAGGAACAACAAGAAAGTATGCAGACATTGCTTTCCTGAACCGCTTTTTGTATTGTTTTGGAGAAATTACAGTAGGAGAGACATTCTTTGGCCCACCCAATATTCCTGAAGCTTTCACCCAAGTCTCCAGGTGCTTGTCCCATGTATACTGCCTCATAAAATCGATAATGCCCAGCACTAGTTCGTGCTTCTCTTCGTCGACACCCACCAGCAAAGAGTAATCCATGACATCAATGGACTGTAACAGCATTGATGATATAGAGTGTTAGACATGAATCACATATGTAGTTTTAAACAGAATGCACTATCGGAGATACTCCAGTCTACCAAAATGCACAATTAGTTTCAAAGCAACAAACTTGGCTCATTTAGGTGGCTCAGAAAGATCAACTACAAAAAATATCAGGAAGAAGGAGAGTCGATGGAAGGGATGTATGGATCTTAAGAATAGCACTGGAAACAAATCCATATCGAAGTATGAGGGGAAAAAGAAAAAAACAATTTACTAATGATAAGAAACTTAACAAGTGGAAAGCTATAGCATTATAGAGCAGATCCATAAAAGAAATAATAAAAAATGAGCTAAAAGAAATATTAGCATAGAATATCCATCCTCACTAAGAGAGACAACAATGTTTTTTAATAGGTGAACTGGTGTTCAAACAGGTGTGTGCTACTGCTCATATACATGTATATTATTTATGCAAAACTGAAGAAGATGCAGATAAGCATTAGATATGTACCAAAACTCCCCCATTCAAGAACTTAAAAAGTGACTAATTAGCCAATGGCACATTGCCTCATCGATTAAAGAGGTAAATTCTTTTGCTTACCGCCAGAAATGATGTATCATTCCAAACAGCTCTCTCTAACAACCTCTTTGCCTTGTTCCCCACAAAAATTGGAGATGTCGGCATTGCCTCAATCAAATTCTGGTCAAGAAGTACTTTGTTGTTACCACTTGAGTCTGGATTATAACGTGATCTTGAAGACCCTTTTAGGTCATACAGCCTTGTAATGTTCCTTCGAAACAGCAGATTCTCCATAACCAGCACATCCATCCTTATATCTTTTCCACCCTTAAGGTTCTTAGAGGTAACCTATAATATAAGATTTAGCTAAAACATCAGTATTTTCACAAGCCAGCCAAAGTATGATAATCAGAAAAACAGAAACAAGAAAAATTAATTAACACTTTGGTGTGTGTCACAAACCCAAAAATGGAAACAAATTATCATGTTTTCTTAAAAGATGATCTTACTTGTGGTCATTTCATTTACAAATCAATAATTCAAGTGTCACTGACTTCAAAGTTCTTGATAAGTTTCTCTATACCACTCTAGATACTACCATGATAAAGATAGTGCATCTATCTTAGCATCACTTTAGATAGATGGTGCACATGATATAACTATCTGTTTCAAAATGGATTGTATATTTCTTAAACAGTTCTCATGTTTTAACGAGTATCTTTAATCTGTGTGCTCCATCCAGATTGGATTCACAAATGCAAGATTCAAAATGTAATATCGCTATGGTCAACTTTGAACAGCTTTTACCTTAATGCTCCTTTGTGTAAGAGGATTCACCAGTCTTGTCAGTCCCACTCCAAAAACAAGACTCTCTCTAAAATTTCATTACTTGTTTCATTTTCGTCTGCCTTTTAACTTCACTCTTTTCACTAATGTATCGATAAGTTCCACAAAATTGTCATCCTGCCAGTTTGTAGGATAAACAAAATCAGAAAAAATGAATACGGATCTATATTGACACAACAGAAGAAAGCTAGTTACTCTCTTTACAGTTAACAGGCAGAAGAAATGGTGGGTTTCAAATTCCTGCTGATCAACCTCACCAACTCTCTCTTAATCCAATACTCCTGGTCAAAGAAATCTCTTCCAGAGAAATTAACAATTAACTTGGGTAGTCGCTTCAAATGGAAATCATTAATAGGTGCCTTCACTGGTCCACCCCAATGGGTACGGGGATCAGATAATACTACAGTTTGCAGGGTGTCTCCCAACTTTGAAACCCTTCTAAATTTACGTGCAAAACATCAGTCTATGCAAAAAACAATTTTGCCTTCCTATTAGGAACTTAACTAATACTTAACAATTAACATGATCACAACACAAACATTGAGTCTCAAATATGATTATAATAAGTTTACTCTTATTTGTGTTGGGTTTCTGCACTTTAGTTTCTGTGTCTTTTAAATATTGGACATCTTGGCCCTTTGACCAATCATAGTATCATGCGTCTAATTCTTGCAACACTTTCTGTGTTGCATGTGTATGGTCTCTGTCGTACACTGATAAGATCTAATTCAGAGTGTTAAAGTTAGTACTTGAAACCAACGAAAGAGGTACACAAATTTGTATTGAAAACCTAAAAGTGAATCTATTAGGGTATTCTTATGGTAGAATGTGAAGTATAAATCTTGAGTTCAAAGGGAACTTGGAAAAAGAAGGCAAAAATTTTTAGTTCGTTGGATTCAAAGGGAACTTGGAATTCTGAAAAGGTGAAAACGCTGAAGAATTTAACTGACTGGTGAATATAAGAGACTCTCATGAAAAATACTAAAAAGATATGATACAAAACAAATAAAAAACTTGGGGAAAAAGAAAAAAAATGTGATGAGTACAACGGTCCGGTCCTAGGTTATTTTAATCAGCCTAACCTCTTGATGCATAAAAAATCAACAGAAGGAATTCCACCTATATAGTAGTAATTCATGTCACAACTGCATAAATGTTGGCTTCAAAAGTTCAACATGTTACTAGAAAATATTCCCCATAATTTTCAAATAACAAAATTTAAGATGGTCCATCTTTATATATTTTTCTTTCTCCATTTTACAGGCTCAAGTCCCAGCATAATCTCAAGTGTATAAAGGCAGAAACATTATAAAATGCCAGCATGTATCAATTATGCATAGAGAAATGTAGAAAACAAAGAAAGCCTGATAAAGAAAACACACCATGAGAATATAGATCAAAATTATATATGTCAGAGAAGATCGATACCTGATAAATACCAAGGATCTTTGCCAAGGATGTTGGGCTACCTGTGGCTATGGACTCTGAATAATATTTAAAATACTCTGGGGCAAACTTGATAAATGATTCTAATTCTGTTTTCGTAACCTGTTTTACTATGAACCTGTCATCCAATGATTTTGCAAAAAATACATTACTTTTGCCACCCTGTGCTCCCCATTTCTTACAACGACTGAGAGACCTTATGAAATCAAGCTCAGAAGGGCAGCAAGCTCTTCTTAGAGCATCAAAGCATTTTGCATAATAACAAGTAACAGTGTATTTTACTTTCCCAAATGGACCTTCATCCGTAAAAGAAACTCTGACATGCATTGTTTTATCTAAAACCAGGGAACCCCTGCTACCAGACAATGATAAAATATTATCCTCAGTTGACCCAAAACTTTTAAAAGGATCAGAAAAGGTTTCATCAAAGGACTGAGACAAGAAATTCCCTGCATCATAGAGTGGTAAAGAAAGTGAAGAGTCCGTACCATCTCTAATTCTGTCCCGCTCGTCTGATAATTGAACATGATATTCAGGAGAGACAAGTGCAAAGGAAATGATACTGGTTGGTTCATCATCGTAAATTGGAATGACAGTATCATTTAAGCCAACAGGAAGAAGAAACCTTGCCCCACCCTGACGCTCCAACTCCCTTAAAAAGATACGGAAGACAGAACTGTACTCATTGAGATCACTAAATCTTGGACTGTTTCCCCAGTTTTTGTTAATAGTACGATAAATATTTACAAAAGGAATTCCAATCCGGGCTGAGAAGTCCTCTGCACTGTCTCCTAACTTACTTAGTAGTATGGAAGTAAATGATTGTGTTATGTCAGCTCCAGCACGTTCTTCTGAACCCTCAGAAATTGGCATTGCAACTGAGTTTTCCATTGGAACTATCAGATCTTGAGTCATTACATCAGCCAGGGCAGTGCCACTGTCACCGATCCACCTTGCATCAAACGTGTCAGATAAATTTGTCAAAACTGGAAACTGTCCATCTGAAAGGGTTCTACGCCCTACTAAACCAGATTCCAAAAGAATTGAACTTTCAGTGGCACTTATGCTGGTATAAAGAGAGGTTTGGTTTTGTTTCTCTTGCATTGAGTCCATTTCTACATCTCTTATTTTCTGACCTAACTCGTCACTATCATGATGACCAAAGAGCCCCTCTGGATTGTTAGCAGTATGAGTCCCTTGCTCGAAGAGCTCATCAGTTTTAAATTCTACTGGAGCAGCATTTGAACACTGGGAATCTTTTTGTGGCTTTAATGCTAGATTCAAATCTTTGATCTTTTCAACAGTGCAGTGCTTTTCTTTCTCTCTTGTCAAGAAACTGTTACAAATCCCCTTGGGACAATTATCTAATTCTGCAGCAAATAACAGTCGTTGATCCCATAAATATGAATGGAAGATTAACTGCCTTCTTAACTTATTAACCTCAAGAATATCAATGACTGGTTCTCCTTTCCTCACCTCCTTCTTTAATACTTTATGTAGAACATCCTAAATGAGCCAATGACCCAGAACAAATGTAAAATTTGAACAACTCATCCAATGAAAAAACAAAAAACTACAATAAAGAAGCTATATTACCTCAAATTCAGCTTTCTCAGTTTGCAGAAAATCTTGAAGTTCAACGATGTGATGTCTGAATTCTGGGACTTCCATGCTACCATTTTGAATCATTGTTTCTTTAAATTGGCATAAATCACTGTGTATTTCCCTAAATAAATTTTCAGCCCTCTCAGCCACCTAGACATGGATGAAGTTTTGTAACTACATATAAAATCTTCATCCCAAAATCTTCATCAACAAACTAAGCGAAAAGAATTCCGTTTTTCTATTGCTACAAACCTCATTTGCTTCTTTAGATATCCATTCCTGGTGCTGATAATTAAAATCAACTTTTGGAGGTGGCAGGTAAACAGAGTGCACATTGATTGATGCATACCGGAAGCAAGCAACCATTCTGCCAAACCTGTTTATGCACACAGTAAAATCAGAAAACAAAGAGACACTAAAGTTTTAATCCAATAGACAGACACAAGGGATCAAGAAAGAGGAACCCATAAAAGCGAAGGCAGTCTCTATGAAGTGAGTGCCCGCAGCTAGCAACTCTACTTGCAGCAGCATGGTTTGAAAAGCTAAGCTCCAGAAATTTTCCAAAAGATAAACCCCATGCAGCATCAGACATCACAACTCTACGAGTTGCTGGAGGGAAGCCATTATTACGACGACACATTAAGCACCTATGCCACATCCAGATTTTTCCATCCCTTTCTCCTGGCAGGAGAATCTCTGGAAACTTTCTAACAGATATTGTCAGACTGCCATATCGATGAGTGTAACAATGAACATGAGCTTCTGATGGCATATCACATGAACGACACCTATAATTCTGACAAGGAGAGAAAATACTGTCAACCATAGAGGGGCAAAATGTGGTTAAAGAAACCCATAATGAAGAGACAAAAAAACACCTCATCAAATAGATGATCTCGTAGAAATCTTCCCAAAGGTTTGTCAAAATTACCATAATACTTTATGCGAAAGAGTTGGGAACGCTCACAAACAGTCCCTTTCCACACACAGCGGGTTGAAAGCGAAACCAAAATGCTCAGATGATCAGAAGGAGAAAGTGCAAATTCTTCCTTCAGTAGCGTGTAGTCATGCAATTCATCAGCAAATTGTTGTGAAGTTTCTGGATTAGAGGAGCTAATCTGTTTTTCTAACATACAACTGCTCTCAGTTTGGGCATCCTTAGGTATAGCAGCACAATTTTCTGCTTGATCAGGAAGAGGAGAACCATGTCGAACTGTCTGATCATCAATTATGTATGATATTGCCTCATGGCAATCTCCAAAGAACACTTTACTTTTGTCCTTTGTGGTACGAGATTGAGGTGAATAATTTGAGACATTACCCAAAGTCGAGAAAGAAGGTAAAGAGGCCCCACTTGATGCTTCTAAAAGATGATCAGCAGAGATAGGACTTAACATGGATGCAAAATCTTCAACTCTGGAGTTGTGGCCTTTAAAGGAACATGGTGATGCTTCCAATACCATCTTTCTGGACTCTATGGATGTTGTGACAGGATATGTTGTGTTGGGTCTTTGAACACTGACACTACCATGTGGCTCACCAGCAGTAGGGAACCCAGGAACCAAGGAGATGGATCTGTCGATGCTAGAAGGTTTATCTGGCAATGCAACAGTTATTGGAGTCTTTAAAGGAAGTTCAGGTAGAAAAGCACCTTCATCTGCTAGAAAAGACGTTTCGAGAGCCAAATGGTAGGCTGCAAAAACTCCATACTGGACTACAGGTTTCACTTTCTTCAGTTCATCAACACTAGCACCTTTAAGTAAAACCTAGTTGAACGAAGAAAAAAAAATGAGATTCATAAACTTTCAGCTGAAGTTTCAATGCACCAAATGTTCTAATATGAATTACTTGAACACAATATTTGTCTCAATTAGTTCAAACTCAACGAGTTACAGAAAATCCATGTCAAGTGCAATACGTTAGCAAGACAAATATTCTGATGTGAAAGGATGAAACTAAAACCAACATTGCATTTGGCCTAAAAACAAAGTTCAGCTGTCAGTAGAAGTTCATTTAATACTTGTCATAGTTATCTAAAAGATGATAGATCGCACATTTTTGTCCTTTGGACAGGCCTTGTCAAACAGAAAAGGGTGTCCCAATGGACAAGATTCTCTCCAACGCAGGTGGAGAAGATGTACAATCATCAAGTGAATCCTACTTTGCAACTCAGTTAATGAAAATCTCGCTTCCCCATAATTCCAGTGCAAATATATCATGGTGATCATAAAAGATAAAACAGAAAAGATTACTGAAGGGTCACATAAAATCATGCAAAGTGAGAAAGAGTGAATAATTTAAGTTCAGGACCCAAAATATATTTAAATTCATAAACAAATAGCTGAAATTGCAATTGCAGTCCCCAGCAAGATAGTTTGCCCAATTGTCTTATTCACCATCAGGAAAATGCTATCCCAAGACCACCTAAACAAAAATTACCCAAATGCTCATAAGATCTCCAAAACTTAACTGGAGATAAGGTAACCAGCGCACATGTTCTACAACATCAACATAACCCAAAAATATGTATGTAACAGGAATAGAATTTCTTGAATGTAATTGTCACTTACAGTGCAACCCAAAGGCTTTGGGCACCCTTCAAAAAACATCAAGTTTTTTAGCATTTTCTTCCCTCCTTGTGCTGCAGTAGTATGATCCTCATGATACTTCTCCACATGAAACAAATCACAGTGCCCAAGCATTGGAGATGATAGGTGGTCAATGGAAGGGACTATATGAGCCCCAGTGCAGCGGGTAATACGTTCCAAAAGAGGTCTTTTGATATTCAAAACCAACGAGATGTCTTTTGCTAGAAGGTACTCTTGGGCAAAACGAGATACTGATTTCTCTACCAAAAGGACATTAGGCTGGTGAGCAGCAATCTTTGCAACAGCCATTTTCAAATGATCCATTTCCTGGATAAACCATCTAACTTCAAAATGCGAAATGAGCCTAGTGCATATTCACCAAAAGAATAAAATAAAATCAAACTCACAGTCTCACATGAATGTATAACTCACCTGCTGCAGCAAAGTATCAAAACTTGACAGCGTATTTGTTACTCGTTGGTATTCAAGAGCTCCTCCAAGAATTAGAAAACGTGGTTTCTCTATTTTTGATTTCATACGTCGATGTGCCACATTCTTCTTACAAACAACTCCTCTTACCACCTTGCTAAAAGAATAGGCAGTAAAGTTCAGCAAACGTACTAAGCATATCAACTTGGTAAGATGCTAGTTGTTGGTGTGCTTATATGAAGTGATTTGAACTCCTATATATATTAGCAAGGACAAGACAAGAAAGAGAAGGCAGAAACTGTGCTTATATGAAGTGATTTGAACTCCTATATATATATGTATGCGTATATATATATATATGTATGTATATATATATATATATATATATATATATATATATATGTATATATATAAGGCCAAATAAAGTTAAAAGACTAAAAAATACTATTCACCTTTCACTGCGATGTCCACAAGCCAGGCACTTGACTTTTACGTACCCACCAGGATCCATTCCTCCATCATTGCTAGTGTCTGGCTTAAGGAAATTTGCTGCTTCCCATGACAAGAATGTAACAATGTCCAACCAACTTCCCCTGTCATCTTCACCAGCTGAAAGATTTTCAACCTGTAGAAGTTGAGCTATCAACACCTTGAAATGTCCATCAACAATGTTCTTCATTGCTTTCTTATGCTCCTCAATTGATCTGTCCCTAGTCCGGAAATCACCACTGCCAAAGCCATTTGATGAATGATCATAATTCCACTCTCCTGTTGGGCTATCCTCATCCTCGTCATCATCAATCAGAATGGATTCTCTTTCATCTTCTTCATCTTCTGGGTCAGGAGGAAGCCAGAGTAGTCCATTATTCTCAAAGTCCACAGGCTCTGCATCTGCATTTTCTATCTCATATATGGAAGGAGAAGCATTACATTCATAGCTACAATCAGGTTCATTTTCTTCATCCATCTTATCAGCATCTACAGTAGCATGGAGTTGTGTGTTGTGTGCTGGGGAGCAGATGTTTTCCAAATTGATATCAACTTCGGCTGGAATCATTTTATTTGAATAGCAATCCTGATCCACTCCATTAAATTCATCTTGACCACCATAGTCATCATAATGCTGGAAATGTTGTGTTTCTGAATCATGCAAGCCCCCATATTCATAATCATCATCATCACTCCTGCAAACCCACAACAGGACTTCATTAATGCTGATATCACTTTAACCTCATAATTAGATTTAACACTGAGTCTTACTTCTGGTAAATGGACTACCAACTATCAGGAATGCATCTTATAGTAAAAGAATGAATCTGTTTAAAGAACATTATAGAATTTTACAGGTCCTTCAAACACTCAGCATGAAGCCAATACATAGACAACAAAATAATGTCATGTTGAGATTCTTGAACTATAGTGAAGGAAAGTCAAGGAGGAAAAGTCAATGCTAGAATAACTAGATCTAGTTAATTTAAAAAAAAAAACCTTTGAATAAAATGAAGAAACAGTAAGACACACCAAAAAAGTAGTGAAGTTAAACACTCAAGTAAAATGCAAGCTGAAAATATGCAAATTATTAAAATAGAAGTTTGAGTACCAAAAAAAATTAGTTATCATTTGGAAAAGCAATCTTTCACATCATCATTACGTATTTCAAGCTTTTGACCATTTATAGATATAAGCTACAAAGTTATTCAGTAAGGCTCCACTTGAAATCTGATTGATTTTTTTTTACCGTCTATTAACCCAACAGTAACTCTCAACTTGATTTCATATTCCTCCCCAAAGGAAACGAGGCACATTCTAAATCTATATTGGGAACAAAAGGCAAAAAAAAAAAAGTCAACCCAAATTCCTTTATATTTGCGATGAACTTAGATATGAATTGGTTTGATCATATTTTGATCTTTGAACATCTTATCTTTATTGTACTTTGCAAAAAAAAAATTGATATTTCACGGGGTTTGCAAATATCATAAGTTGCCATGTGGAAGCATCTCTTTTGTTCCGACTTATCTAGATTGTCTATGGAAAAGGAAAAAGGGGAAGCCAAAATAAAAGTTTGAAAGAAGACAGATCTGGACTAGATTGAAGAATTCTATTTATTGAATATTCCATCCAACAAGCTTGATCAAAGAATCTGCAAAAAAAGAAGCCTGTATCAATTATGTAAAAGAGGAAGATTGTCTATCAACTGATTCAATGCAAACTTGTGAGTAATAAAGAAATAGGATAGGTTGAAAAGCCTTGATTCAAGGGATGTAAATTTCATAATTATAATTTTCTTTTTTCTTTTTTCACTTTTCTCAGCTTACATGAAATACGGGGATAGGAAGAGTTGTAATCTGGATCATTGCAGACTGAATGAACAAAAACTCTTTTTTCCACAAGATGTCTAAGTGGTGCATGGTGAAATTCATCTCCTCAAAGTGAGTTCAGAGAATTTGGAGCCTCAGATACTATCTATCTACTAGGTCCTTTCCAATATTCTAATTGTTCTTCTCTTCCACAATTACTTAAGTCTCAAAATGCCTAGACTCATACAGTAGACCTGTTGTCTTATACTTTTGACTAGAAGAACTAACAAGGCTCCAAGTTGCTGAATGACTGATGTCACAAGTGTAGCAAACCATCAAAGACAAGTGGAACAACCTCAACTACCATCACGAGCTAGTCAGGAAGGATTGCATCAATGTCTCTTCCCTAAAATTTGGACCCATATAAGTTGTCCTATGTCACCATGCAGATAAGGAATTGCCTTGAGACATACAAGGCAAGTTGGCTGATATGAAAATCCATCTTTGTGATGATGATTAAAAGTCATGCAACCAAGGAACCACCTAAAAGTTGTTTGAACACGAAAATAACTTTCATATATGTAGAATGTTACAAGAAGCCTAATGCTGGCGAGTAAAAATGCCAAGATGAATATATATAGGCATGGTTCTCAAAAGAAAAATTGGAACTTCACTCCATCAGCAATGCACAGCCCACATTATATAAAAAAAATCATCACGATATAACCATTTCTCAACTGGCCTAAAGAGTAAAAACTATAAAATAATTTAGCACGCATAAGTCAATGAACATATAACATCTTGTCATATATTTTCTCCCAGTAAATGATTTATTTTCTCCATGGCGGAAGATATAGCGTGTGCAAGTGCCATAAAATCATAGCAATTAAGTGAAAGACAAGGATACCTGTTCATGACATAGCCAAACCGATGACTACCAATCTCTACGGCGTCTATGCTCCTTGCAGATACATGCAGGTCTGGCTTATCTGAGCATGGCTCCAACAGAACAGATTGGCATGGATTAGGAGCAGGACCATAAGGAATAAGATGGTAAGGTCCTGACGAGTAAGATTCAACATTGAAGTTGCTGTTAATAGTCCCACTAGATTTGGTACTGACAATGCTTGTTGAGGAAAGAGCAGGACTGATGTACTGTTGAAATGCATTATCAGTTGATGATATCCTTTGATCCCATTGTTTGAAGCAAAAGTTACAAACCCGAATTCGCTCACGCTCACCTACCTCTTTAGTGCTCCTCAAATTATCAGATGTAGCAGGGATAAAATTTGCTGTGCACTTTCCACAGAAAATGCGTCCGCAATGTCGACAATGATGTCGACGGTTAAAAATCGTGAATTGTGCATCACACTCATAACATACCCTGCAACTATGGTCGGGCATCCAAAAGTTCCTTGACACATTTGGCGGCTCAGACCGCCGAGGGATCCAGGACTTCACGATGCTAAACAATTCAGAGAATGCATTGTCGGAATTTTCCATCGAGGATGATCTCTCTCCACCTCACTCATTCTGAATAATGCATATGCAGCCGATAAGCCTGTTGTCTTCCACTCCACAAACACTCAAGATCTGTTCCGCTCAAATTGTGCAACAAGCGATCCATGTTGTCTTCTCGAAGAAGGACCAAGACAGAGCTTTTCTTGCATCCAGTGGACGCGCTTCCAACATTCTACATAGACAATCGGAGGATCATACACTACAAACATTAATCAAGCGGCAGCCCATCAAGGAGGAGGTAGAAGATCTCCCTCGCGATCGAAATGCCAGGACAATCGAGAACCAAACGTTTGAAGGAACGCAATCTCCTTCCATGCTACTCGATGTCCGGAATGCCACCTTTCCTAAAGCCAATCAAACAAAAAGGCCCTTCTTTCCAGCGTCTGCACCCACAGCAGCAAATGCCACCTAAGCACCATCAGGACCCCCATCCCCGCCCCGGAATGCAGGATTCCCATGACAAACGGCGACAGATCGCATCGCTTCTCATCCAAATTCAAAAGAAATCGACGGAATCAAACAAAATGCCAGGGCAGGCTCGATACCTCCGATGGCGCAGGGAATTCACAGCACGAGAGTCGCCCAGGAAGGCTTGCCAAAGTCAAAGGCAATCCCGTCGACGGTGGGAATCGGTACGACACCAAGAAACCGAACCCAAAGTCGAGGGACAAAGATCAAGGAGGGGATCGTCAGGCGGCAGGAATCCCCCGGCATTAACTCCTTCGTTTCCGCCTCAAATGACTGCTTCGCGTCGAAATGGATCGAGAGATCGAAACTGCATTCGAAATAACCACAAGAAATCGAGAGGCGAAGTCTCCAACAACAACAACAACAACAACAAAAATTGGGACGAGAAAAGGGAATTAAGATGAAAAATGCGACTTTTGTCTGTTCAACGTCCGTTCCGCTTCTCACTCACTCCCCCCCACTCAGCTTTCTATCTTTCGTTCCATTTCGTTTAGAAGGCGTCGTTATTTTTCTTTTCTCTCTCTTCTCCACAGAAAATGGAGTTCTTCTTCACCGCCACGTTCCATAACTACCCACAGTTCTACCAGACTTGTGGTTGGATCGCACTGTGGGACATAATGCCGGTAAGAAAAGAGGAAATAACTTCTCGTTTTCTCCACGAAGAATGGAGCGCTGATTTACTTCCACGTTGACGTCCTACCGTCTAACCTACCAGCCTCATGATTGGATACAGCGTAATATGTGGATGGGGCCAAAGTTTATGTCCAATCAAAAAGACAGGTAGAGAACAACGAGTCGTTGCGATCTTCCCTCCCTCTTTTGTAGATAGAAAACGAGGCACATTAATGGACTACCCCGTCACCTGCCAGTCCCATAATTAGGGGAATGCGTAGGCGGGACCCAACTGTCAATCCAATCAAAGAGAAGGTAGGAAGAATTCGTCGTTTTGCTCAATTCCGTCCCTCTATTTCTCCACGGTTACACACTGTGGGACACAGATGGGACCCAGTTGTTGAACCAATCAAACGGAAGGTAGGAAACATTGCGGTCGTCGTTAAGGATTAGTAATTATCGACTTCCAACATTAAATGCTATTAAAACCAAAAAAAAGTTCTGATGCAAGTCTAATAAACATATGATCTTTCAATAACATCATAATTGAGTATATATATATATATATATATATATATATATATATATATATATATATATTCACATTTTCATTACTTTTTATGCTTTATAAACACATTAAATATGAGTTGTACTCATACAGATTAAATGAGTTTGTGAATTGGATTCACGATTCTTGCAAGTGGGGATGTGGGAACACCCAATGATGACATGGCATGCTCATCCCTGAGGCAGCAATGAACATGTCACGTGGGAAGTCAACTTTAGTGGGGAGAGACTGTAATAGGCGGAAGAATATGCTCAACAAATCATATATATATATATATGAGTATTATTAATTTTAATTTTAAATATTTTGATTGATAATTTAAGTTAAATAAAGTTGATGAATCAATTAACCTATTAGATTTGGATTATAATAATTTGAACATAATAAAAAAGCTCCAATAAAAAAGAAATTTCGGTCCGAGAAACCTGAGTGATATGTAAATTATAATGTCTCAATTAGTTTTACATCGTATAGATTAACTTATAAAGATACGATGAGAGTGTTAGTATTTGGACCAATTAACCTGTCTATCAGATTTGGATAATAATAATAAGAGAATATTTTTTAGGTCCATTTAAATAGAGTTTAGTATTATATTTAATGGTAATATACATTAACCACTTTCTAGGTTATAAATGGCCGTCATGGTTGAAATCGAGTGGATAATTACCAGGTTGCAGTCACCTCAGGAAACTTGTATGGTCCTATGCTATTACAATGATGTCTGCAAGTCAATGGTCAACAATTGAGGGTAGCATCTTCTTCTTCGTTCAACTTAGAGAGCCAGCCAAAGCATGCCTTTTGACAGTGTGTCTGGTGTTGGATTGAGAGGTGATAATATTTTTGCTGACTCTTCTTTATGATCAAAAGAAGTCACAAGATATTTGCACCCTAAACCCCATTGCCATCCTCCATCGAGATGACAATGTTCCATAGTGTTTCATCGACAAGAAATATCATAATTTAACCTTTAATTTAATATTCAAGACATAATGATGTATTTCTTCTTCGTCTATTCGGATCGCAAACGATACATATGTTTTTACCATCGTAATAATGTTATTCCATGCGGTAAAAGAATCACTTATGGTCACAAGATTTGTGTCCTTTTCGTAGGTTGCAAACTCCGATTGGCTTCCGTGAACTCGTCGCCGGTGCATGCATACAGCTCCGACAACTAAATATATGAGACATGCATGCCATCGTAAGAGGGAAAGAGGTGGGCACGCGTCTCAAAGATTCCCATCGTGTCCGTGTGATGCGGCGGCCTGTGATATCAAGCATGGTTAGGTGGATTCACCTTCTCTTATTCCCAATTATTTATTTCTTTTATCGGTCAAAATTTGACCCAACGATCCTAAATCGAATATTATTTTTGATTATATTATTTTTTTTCTGATGAAAATAAATGAGTGAGATGAGATTTAAGCTCTTAAGAATCTTATGATGATGATAATAAGCCTGTATTCAATATATTTAATTTATGGATTTAAGGATGAATTATCGTTAAATATTTTAAGGGGTAATATGTAATATTATAATTTTGGCCATTTATTTTATTCTTTTGATCCCCTCTCCACGTTAGGACTATAAAATGGGGACCTCTCGAGCTTCCCCTGTATGCAACATGAGAAGGGAAGAGAAGAAGAAGAAGAAGAAGTAGGAATAAAGGAGGGATTTTTAGGTTTGGGAAGGAGGGGGTTTTAGAGATGTGTGGAGGCGCCATCATCTCCGACTTCATTCCGGCGTCGCGGCGAGTGACCGCGGAGCAACTGTGGGTGGGCCGCGAGAAGGGCGAGCTGAAGAAGGGGAGACATTGGGATGACGACGACGACTTTGAGGCTGACTTCCGGGATTTCAACGACGAGGCCGAGGAGGACGAGTTCGATGGCGGCGAGACGGAGGCGGGTGAGTTTGACGCCGTGCACTTTGGTTTTGGATCCAAAGCCCCCTTCACCCGAGGTAACTGAGAGCGAAATTTCAAGAAAGAGGTTGTTTTTCTTCTGTGATTAGGAACGGGTAGTGTTCGTAGCATTCCATGCTGAGATGAGGGTTTTATTCGTTGTGTAGGTATGGAGGATTGACTAAGAAAAGACGGGATCTTCCAATGTGATGAATGATCGAAAGCAAACATTAAAAAAAAAATCAGAAGCTGTGTCTTAGTGTTGTGTGTTTATCCAAAAAACGAACTTTGCAAGAAAAGAGTGTTTCTTGATCTTACATTAGTATCACTGATGTTTCTCATAATAGCATTTCAAAGTTTTGCTTGGTTTGCAGAGGGCTCAGCTAAGTCTGTAAGGTTTGATGGATCTGCTGCTAAATCAGCCAAAAGAAAGAGAAAGAATCAGTACAGAGGAATCCGCCAACGACCATGGGGCAAGTGGGCAGCTGAAATCAGGGATCCTCGCAAAGGAATTCGCGTCTGGCTTGGAACCTTCAATACTGCCGAAGAGGCTGCCAGAGCCTATGATGCTGAAGCCCGCCGGATTCGGGGTAGGAAAGCCAAGGTGAACTTCCCAACAGCAGCAACTGCATCATCATCGGGTTCAAGAAAATGCTCGACAAAGCCTACTGCTTCAGAAATTCCAGAAATAACTGCATTGGAAAAACTTGACTTCGACCAGACATCCAAGTACTGGAGTGACCATGAGTCTGAATGTTCAAGGTTCATGATAGACAGGGAACTAACCAAGCCTGTTCACATGATGAATCCCCTTATCACAGTAAATTCTTCAGCACCTCCAGAAGGAGCTTCTCTGAATTTTTATTCTGACGAGGGAAGTAATTCTTTTGGTTATACCGACTTTGTATGGGAGCTCGAGGCCAGGACCCCGGAGATCACATTGATTCTTGCTCCCACTGAACCTGATATATACGAAGATGGTGGTGCTCAGAAGAAACTGAAACATAATTGCTCTGTAGAGACCATGCCAGCTGAGAAAAATTCTGCAATTGAACTCTCTGAGGAGTTATATCCTTATGAACCATGCATGAAGTTTCTCCCTGCCCCTTACTTTGGGAGGAGCTCAGATGCCTTAATCGACATCCTATTTGGTGGTGAACTGGTGCAGGGTGGTGTGGACGTTCTGGACCTATGGAATTTTGATGACTTGCCCATGGAGGCCAGTGTTTACTAAAATAAATGTAAGAATTACAATTATCTTAGTTAGGTTGTTGAACAATGCTAAGTGTATATCTTATTTTTGGAAATAAGCCTTCCCTTACATGTTGTTTCCTTTCTCAGGAACCATGTTGATGAAGGATATGGAGGTTTGGAAACATTGGCTGGCTATCATGAATTCATTGTGATTTGTCTTGCAAAGGTGTCTTCAAGGATGCTTCTTATAATTGCCTAGTTAGGTGTTTCAATTTTTAGTTTTTGGACAAGCTTTTCATTCGATGATGAATAAATGCTTCTTGCAAGTTAACTCATGTTGCTATGGGCATGCTTGGTTTCTTTTGCTAGTCATGGCCAGAAATACTAGATCAGTTATGAGGTCATGGAGATGGTGGACACAAGGTTGCTGCAATTAAAGTGTATGGTCTATGATGAGAATTTGAAATAAATCTGGATATTAATGGCCATTGTTTCAAAACTTTTTTGTGGTTAGTGAGAATTCAAACTCACTTATTAAAGGTCTACAGAGTTTGATTTCCTAATTATGTCCGTATTATTCCTTTGTTGTCTTTGTTTGCTCCTTTGTTAGATCTGGTTGATCTTTGTTTGCGAATGACGGATAATGCTTGAGGAAAGATGGTTTTCTAAAACCACAGGCAATCTCATGTGTAGCAATTTAGGATTTGGTGGTCTTTGGCAATAGGTTAAATTAAATGTGCTGCTGATGCTGGTTTTGTCTGAATTTTCATCTTTTGCACTTGTTTGATTGGTTTTTGTTTTGCAATGACTGAAACAACAATGAAAGCTGTATGGTTTTCAGATTCTTGAGTTTTGACCATGATGCAGGATCATCATCTTTTCATCCAGCCAAAACATCTGGGAACTAAAAGAAATCAATCAAAGCAAGTGTCCCACTATTCTGGCTTGCTGTGAGGAGGGCACAATCAAGTGATGCACACATGCATGCAAAAAACAAGAGCTGGTTTTTCTTCTGACAGTTTTGGAACATCTACTGGTATACCAGAGAAACTTTGATGCTATGATGATGCACTTTGAGAGTTGTTTAAGCTATGTTAAAGACTCCAATAGGGGGTTTTTGTTAAAGGCAAATTGCAGTTGTTTACTGAAATAATAAATGTATGTGCTACTCATCACAAGAATTTGAACTGTTGCTTTCAAGTTGATGGTGTTTTTTTTTGTTTCCTTGATCTCTTTTTGGGATCTGATCAACTTAGGATTATGTTTTCTTGACCACATAAGTTAACCTAATTTACATACAGAAGCACCACAAGCCGACTCTCTTAGCTAGAAAATCTTATCTGTCGTCGATCTCAAACGTCCGGGCCTACTCAACCTGCTTGAATTAGGTTTAGGTACGCTTTAACGAGATCTAAGATAAACATATTTAATCCTACATCGGTTAAAGATATCATAAGAGCTACAAGAACAAACTATGCCGAATCCATCCTAAAGCAATCAATTTCTTATCAAATGATATTGTAAAAATCTTACATCGATTTTTTTAGTTTTTATTTGATTATTGATATTTGAATTTTTATCTTCATATCAAGGAATTAATCAATCTGATGGGCAGAGGTTGAGTGCTCTGTACAACTGAAAGCCACATTTCTTTGATTTGTTATCAGAGGCATACAAGTAGCATTTATGACTTGATTTCAAAGCTGTGCATGGAGGGAGGAGTGTGAGGTTGTCTTCTTCCTAGATCTACAACACATGCCCTGTAAAAGATCTGATCAAGATCCACAGGAGGAGAACATGGATTGATCCAAACAGGAACAGTAATGATTCCCATGTCCAAGGAATCACAAACTGAGGTGGGTTCCCATTTCCAAGGAGATGGGATTTGCTTTGCAGGGCAACAACAGCTCTTGGGCAAGCATCAATAACACTTCAACCAAAATGATCACTCAAGCAGTCTTTAATGCATGCTTGCCTGAATGATTCAGCAATCTTCTATTATTCCCCCACTTTTGACAGAAAACAAATGGAAGAACTCAGCAAGGTGGCGAGTCAGTATCATTTACCAGCACTTTAACAGTATTGGAGATGGAGTTGATTACAACCCACCTGCAGAAACTTTGTGGAAAGGCCATGAAGCTTTTTTGACTTCAGGAGGTATAATTTAGATCACAGTCTGGATTTCGTTGTTCTGTAGGTTACAGTTCACCGAGGACTAATTACTGTAGCTCCATTAATGGTCCTTTTCCTCGGAGAAGTTGTCTTCCCTCCAGAATTCAACCATGGAAGTGGATCTTGGAACCGTGCTTCTTCTTGATTTGCTCTTTTGGTTTTCCCCAGCATCGTCGGCCATGTGTCCTCTGAGGCCTTCAAGAGGCACATGTAACAGGTGGCCAACTTCATCTGTGCCTTCAATTGACCATGTATCAGAGCTGTCTTCTCCAACTCTCTCTCTCTATCTCTGTCTGGATTCCACCTACTACAATCAGACCACCAATATATCGTATAAGATAGATCCGGCCATCAATGTTTCTCCAGATGATGGTTGGATAAGATCCTGACACTGTTTCTGCTGCTACAGGGTTAGCTTGTCTGCATCAGATTATAAGATGTCTCTTTCTGTATGGAAAAACATATTTTTATAACCATGGCCAAAATCTACACTGCTTAATGGTAGCAGATTGTGTTTGTTGTGACAGCAGCCATTCAAGATGAACCTGCAAGTCGATGGCTTGCCAAAGCTGATGACTGCTTTTCCCTTGAACGACAGATGCATCCACCATTCACAAGTTTGAAGTGACAGCATATAGCTTGCCTCACTTGGATCTGAACCTGAGTTGATGATTAATGTAATATTCAACAAGTTTGAACCAGAGAAAATTTTCCTGTGTTATTCTTGCATTTTGATTCAAAGACCACTGCATTCTTGAATGCTTGTGTGATGTTTGCTGAAATAAGGAAATCGTCCACAACATGTTCATAGTCCGAGGAGTATTTTGGAATGAAAGGGAAGGTACTTTTATTGCAGCATGCCATGGCATGGCATGACATTACAGCCTTAGACCTCACACTGGAAACCTCGAAGACAACAGCAAGTTTCAATCTTGCCAAAGAAAAGAAAAGGCGCAACCCTCACATTAGTTGAGACATGAAACTCATGAAGAACAAAACCTACGAAGACAGACGGACCCAATGGATAAGACTCCTGCCGATGCAGGGTCTGGGAGGAACAGACTCTACCTTCTAAATCTCAGACATGCAAACAAACAGATCGAGCTACTTGGAGCCATTAATGGCTTCTCCATCGACTGCCAGAGGAACAGACTTTGCCTGAAATGAGAGGAGTCAATGCAAACATTAGTCGTATGACACGATCGATAAGCTTCTCAAATGGACTGATCCAGGTGTGAGGCTTTTACCAGGTTGCGATACTTAAGAGCGTAGAACATCTCGAGGTAACGGCGAGTCTCGCGCCTGTCCAGGTTGGAGACGTACTTCCAGAAACCATAAACTCCAGAGAGTGTCATCAGCCTCTCCGAGTAGAGCTTCCAAGTGTACCTAATTTTATTTGATTTTAATGCAGAGGTTAAGATAATTGATACTGATCCAAAATTGGCCTTCATGACAAGAAGGGGTTACCAAGACGGGATCTTACTTCTCTTCAATTCTTTTCAGCCCTCCTAGTGAGATCTTGTCCCAGTGGGTTGGGTCTTCCTTGCACTTCTCAAAGAAATTTACGATGATTTCAGCAGCCTTGTCACCCTGGTAAGGGTCAATGTGGAAGCCAGAAACTCCATCTACTATAATTTCGCCGGGTCCTCCATGAACAGTTGCAAAGGTGGGCAGCCCACAGGTCATGGACTCGACGACGGTGAGTCCAAAGGCTTCGTAGAAGGCAGGCTACACGAAACCAAAGCGAAAGATGCAGGTTGGTGAAACTTCAGCTTGGCATGTAATTGTTTCTACAGAAAAAGAGTAGCAAGTACCTGAATGAAAGCTCCTTTTGTGTCAGCAATGTATCGGTAGAGCTCGCCGTTGCGAACACGGTTCATCTGGGCTGAGATCCAGCGAATGTGCCCATTAAGATTGTACTTCTCAATGAGATCGTACATCTTCTTAAATTCCGCTTGTTCCTCGAGATCCTTGGACTCTTTCCCGTGGTCTCCACACACTACCACAAGGTTCACCAACTCCTTCAAGCGTTCATTCCGGCCATAGAACTCGACCAGACCTGTCAAGTTCTTCACTCGGTCCAGCCTTGCCATGGAGAATATAATGGGTTTTTTTGTGTCATTCAGCACACCCCTGCAAGGACTCTCGAGTTAGTCACTGTGTGATCCGGGAAGAATGACAAATTTAGTTGAAAGAACAGGTCATACTTGTGCTCAGTGTTATCTTCAGGGTTGAAGAGCAGCTCCTCAATCTCGGGGTGGAGGGAAGTGAGTCTCTTTTGCTTCTCTGTGTAAGGGAAGTATATCGACAAATCAGCTCCAGGGGAGACAATGTTGAACTTTGGGTCAAACACATCGATTCCATGAACAACTCGGTAGAGACCAGGAAGAGTAAAAGCGGTGTGAGACTCATACTGCCCCACGGTATCCTTGCTGAAACAATACAAGATATGAAGAAATTCTCTTAGATTCCAATAGCCATTCTAGTATCCCGATAGAAACAAAGGATGATTAGTACCTCCCAGCAATTTCCTGGAAGGTGCTAGTGATGATAAAGTCAGCATGATTCATCGCAATCAAATCAGCTGTGAATTGGCAAGAGAAATGATACTGATTCTCAAACTTCTTCCAATAGATGTCCGAGTTAGGATACTTCGTTTTCTCCAGTGCATGGGCGATGGTGCACTGCATGTGAAAGACAATAAGCATCAGTGACGCAGAAATCTCATACCGTCTAATGTGCAGTTGCAAACTAAGTGATTCAAACCTGGGTTACTCCTAATTTATGTGCTAGCAAAGTCGAAACTAGATTTCCATCACTGTAGTTTCCAATGATCAGATCAGGGGTGGTCTGCAGTTCTCCAGCCAACTCATTTGCTACATCCTATCATCAAAAAACATCATCGATAAACTTTCATGCACAAGTTTATCAAAGCAGATCCATGCCCAAGCCACTGAGATACTGAAAACAAGCTTACAAGACTAAGATTTACCTCAGTATAGGTCTCAAGGTAAGGCCACACTTCGAAACGGGAAATCCATTTGCGGACGATTCCGTTCTCTGTTCTAAATGGAACTCGTAAAATGTGAGTGTGCTCGGTGCCAATGACCTTCTCAAGTTTCTGTCCGCAAGTAGTGCCTACTGCATCAGGAAGCAATCTGGTAACCTGCATCATCCCAGCAATTTAATCTCAGGCAGCATGCATCGACCATAAATTTCCTTAAAATGTCTAAGGACTAGATAAGATCTAATGACAGTGCAAGAAGCCAATCTAATCTCCTCTCAAATCTTACAATAAGAATTCGGGGTGTGATGTCAAGCCCTTGGCGCTTGATCCTCAGCAGCATCTCATTTTCTAAGGCACGGACTTGATCCAAGATATAAACAACCTGCAAACAAAGGTCTTGTGAGAAGCAGAAGAAATTTGACTATTGCGAGAGTTGACATTCTTTGAGATCTAGTCATACCTGACCACCAGTGTCAGGATACCCCAAGACATTAGCTTGGGCAAAGTAGCCATGCGGAGAAAGGATCACAACATTAAACATCATAGGAATTGTCCCAAGGAAATTCTCCAAGGTACAAGGATCAGGTGCCTCCAGAAGGTCCAGTAGCAGATGAATGTTCTCGTACACACGCTGAGCCGTGTCACCCCAACCTTTCTCCAAGCCAAGCTCTTGAAATCTGAAACCAGCCAAATTGAAAGTCTGATCAAACACATGTAAAAAAGTTGCCACCTTTGCATCACAGAGAGACTTCCATTATATATTCCAGTTTCATAAATAGTCAGCCAGAGAAAATCGAACAAGGAAAAAAAATGATCGACTACCAATTTACCTGTGGTTGAATTCTGAGTATGGGGTGGCAGATGGGATACTCAATAGATGTTGCTCAGCCTTCCTTAATGCAGCTTGAAGAGCACTAAGGCTTTGTATCCTATCATTGAGCATCATCGACTGCAAGGATCGCAAACTCCAATAAAATTAATGATATCTATGATTTAAACAATACGATATCACAGAAAAGAGCAGCGCTTGATTTTAACATAAGTATTGACAGTTATACTTGGCTAAATCTTTAGTGTAAAAGTACCAATTATGTAGCGAGCATGATTAGTTATGTTCGGGCACCAATTTCTTACCCTTAACCACAAATAGTTTTGAAGGTACTCTAAAATTTTTATTAGATGCTTAAATAGGTTTTCCTGAATATTAAATTTGATATTTATATATTCACTGGACAGAACAAGAATGCTAAAACCATATTCATAACCACTAGCGAAAAATGTGAGATAACTATATGTGCTATATAGATCTAGAGAAGAAATAAATACCATGCCCTTGTAGTTGTGCTGCCGCAGGAAATTTAGCAAGGGGTACATGCTTTCTTTGTCATGGAATAACTTTGAGGAAAGGTGTCGGTTAAGGAACTGCACTCCATTTCCAATGGATTTTGATAACGAAGGGCGAGGGAACGAAGCATTGAAGGGCTCAAAATCCAACTCCAGCACAAAGTTATTGTTTTGTGAGCTGAAAGAGGATAAGAAAGATGCAACAAGAAGATCAAATTTTTGTTTCACGGCAAAAAAAAATTGGACAACTATTTCCTGATATTGGATCACCCACCTTCCATCAACAAGTTCTTCCTTAAAGTGCAGGTACTCGGGCACAGTCAACTCTTCCACGGCAAGCTCACTAATGTTCACCCGGACGTGCTCCCAGACTCCGGGGCGCGGCCGGATGGCTAAAGCAACCCATGGAGGAATGACTATGGCTTCCTGCATTGGAGTTAATGTAATGTTCAGGAAAACAGATGAATTGATGGAATTGAAGAGAATGTGTCATCGTCCAACTTATATACCTGTGCTGCCTTAATGACATCCTCAAAGGCCCCGTCCTTCAGCTTCTCCCTATCTGCTTCAGAAAACGCAGCTGCATATTCTGCCAGCAGCTGGTGAGGCTGCAGCATCCCCTTCCCCTGATTAATGAACCTGCCGAATGAATCATGGAATCGTAAACATGTTTTCACGAATCTGAATGCTAATGGTCGCGAGTGCAAGAAATCATAGATGTTCACAGGGAGAGCAGTCATTCTTTGCAGCTATCTAAGCATGCATGCATAGATCTGACATCCATTTACAAAAGCAAGACGCAAGATCTAACTAAGATGGCTGCAAACCTTGAGAAAAGGGCCACGAGTTCATTGGGATGGGAAGAAAGAGAGTCACCAATGCGCTCCCGAACGCTGTGGGCGCGAGTCAAGGTACGCTGAGGCATCGCTGCTGCTGATCTCCTTCAAACCTCAAAAAGCCTGCAGTGCAAGAAAGCCAGAGAAGGTCAGCAAGGCAGATGTGGAAGATGTAGCTGAGATCCAGAGTGAGATCAGGGAAAGATCTAAGAAAGATCACGCGGCAGATCATCCAAAAATAACTGGATAATTGAAAGCATAATACAGTTCAACGAGGAGGAAAGAGATGCTGATGACAGCACAAAAGACCAGCCAAAATACCCAGAAAAAAATCTCACTTTTGCCGTAAAACAGGAATAAAATTCTACCATAACAGATCCAAGAACGGGACAGGGAAGAAAGGATTAGATAACTTGGAAAAGGTTCAGAGGTTGAGTTGGCAAGTGCATGCAAAGGTACTAGACTAGATCTTGAAGAAAGCAGGGGAAAACAAGAGAACTTGACAGCAGTGTTTGTCTGAGAAATATTCTAAAAGAAGATGTAAGCAGCTCTGCTAAGCAGTCAGCAAAGAGAGAGAGAGAGAGAGAGGCGTCCGGGTTACTGACAGAGGGGAGAAATCTACTTCACATTTGAAACGTGTTATGACGCACTGGCAGAAGGAAAGGGTTTCAGGCTTCAAAGTCGTCTTTTTCCTTGCCTTCTCCGAGGTTTTCAATGAGGAGTTTCAGTATCTACATGCAAAAGGATTGAAGCTTCTTCTGATTTCTCTGTTTACCGACACGAAATATTGCAGGCAACGGCAGTCGCAGAAAAGATTGGGCAGGTTTTGGTAGAAAAGAGCAAGCGAAAGAAGCGAAACCTTCTCTCTACACAAAATCTTCTTGAGAACCCACGAAAAAATCGAGCAGAGGCAACAAAACATGAAGTTATTTTAGCATGATTTCCTCGTTTTGACAACGAGGGGGAAAATTAGATGCTTTCACCAGAAATTTTCTCTCATTTCTCTCCCAAGAATGTTATGTTTCCACCGTATATAGTGGTCGAAAGATTTCAAGAACAGAGAGCGCAGAATCTTTTGCAGGTAACGTTACTAACAAAACTTAATCTTTGATTCCGCTACACCAAGACTACCAAAACCAGAAGCTTGTGGGAGAAACACTACCACAAACAATCTGTTCTCCGGAGGCGCGAAGAAGAGAACTTTACCCTCGCAAAGAGAACCAAAACGAGGAAGCCGAGGAGGAGGAAAGGAGACAAACGCAGCGCAAACAGAGGAAATCAAGAAAACGCAGTGAACGCAGTCGGGATGGATTGGTGAGAAGAGACTGGACTCCCCGCCCCATTTTATACTGGAAAAAAGGTCCCACCTTTGGCTTTCTTTAACCAAGGAAATGGTAGGTGGCGCCACCCTGTTCTCGATTTCATCGACCCACCTCTCTCTCTCTCTCTCCACTGTGGGCTCATCCGGTTTTGCTCCCTCCTCCTTGGATTTCTCGAGCTACAAGCGGTCATTTTTACTCCATCATCATCTCTTCAACTTTGATTTCGTCCACTCTTCACCCTCTCTTCCATGGAGAGGGAAGGTATGTGAAGTGAATTCTCAGGGCTCGTTAGGAAATCTTGATCATAGAAGGAAAGTGTTTCAACAGTGGAAGGACATGAATCCCACTGTAATGATGGTCTTTTAATCCCACTGACGACCGGTCTTAAAGGAAGAGGCAGAGAGCATAAACATCTCACACGCAATGTGTTTCATGAACTCCCCTTTTACATAGGAACTTAAGCCTTTACTTGTGTCCATTTCAGCATGAGGCTTTTACTCATTTATCAGAATTAGTGTATTTATTCTTATATATTTGAATATAATTTATATCACTCAATCCTTCATACTCCGGACAAAAGGGACCGAGTTTTTCGACCTGCAAGCTGAGCTGTCGCCGACCCGACAAACCAGTGGGCTCAGAATCCGACCCCGAAGCGGGTCCCGCTTCTCCGAGCTCACGTGCGGTGGCCTATAAGCACGTATAGAAACAAACCGGTCTTTGTCGGTCCAATCGAATCGGACCGGTAAATAAACTCAGAACCGGTCGGGTCGGATCGGAATTGATTACTTAGCGAGATATTTGTACCGATAAATAGGGCCACGTCTAATTAAATTTCTGGGTCCCAGTCTCAACGCCGTTGCGTGAATGACGAGTGGAAAGCTACATCGGGCGTGCCACATGATTTCACGGGAGAAGGTGATTGATGTCACGGCACGAATATTCATGACAACACAACATATCTAACACAATAATGTGGATGGATGGTCGCGCGTGGTATATGATTCAATGAAAATATGATGTCGTTATGCCTGCTCCAAGGTTATGGAATCATGTGAACGATGACATGATCAAAAGCCATATATATATAATGTGAAACTGCAAGACTCGAGCAAGATTTGCATATTTTACCGTAGCTTCGAGCGAATCACTTCCTCTCCTGCCTTCTGTTCGACTATCGTTCAGCTAATCTGGCACCAAGCCAGATTGGGAGCAGTTGGAAGGAGTCAGTAGTCGATTTGATCTTATCCATTTCCTCCCACACGATATCGAACATGTCGGTCGAAGCAGCGGGCTCCACACACAGACAAGTATGATTATGTTATTTCTATTTATTAAAAAAATAATATTAAATTATTATTATTATTATTATTATTATTATATTGGAGAATATGAGAATAAATACAGTTTAACTCTTTTTTATCTTTTGTCGCCCAATTATGTAACCTATGATTCGCCAATGGTACGGTCAGCATTCCAACATCGAAGCTTGATCTCGACGCAATGACGTAGCATAAAGGCTCGGGTGGGTCACGCAACGGACGGTTGAAACCCCGCCCCGTTGTGGGCCCCGCGACCCCCCCACGTTACTGGAATTGCACGAAAAGGCCCTGCAATTATCCAAAGAACAGGTCACAGATCCTTACACCACCACCGACGATGACTTATCCACCGATGATAGCATATGCTCTTTGGGTAAGGACGATAAATAAAAGTCCTGATAGCTTATTGCTCGCCGTGGACAGTTCGATTAATATATATATATATATGTATTTTATAATTGTGATCGCCCTCTTGGGTAGAGTTGAATTGGAACACCTAACTTACCTAACAATCTTGGCAGGCTAACCAGCTAGATTTCATGGGGGTGGTGGAGTCCACATACAAGATCAGGATCTATGTGAATTACAACCTTACGATCGCATCAAGATTCGCACCAGCTTCATGATCGGAGGTAAATACTTTGCACCTGCAAGTGAAGGCGGGTGTTTGGATAGCTTGCCCGCCTGTGTCTGCGGTGGAGAGACAGCGACCGTGCACCAGTAATGGCTTGGATCACCTTGCACACTGCCACGCTTGTGTTAGCTGATGCGTAGGTTTCGAGGACTTTGCCTTGTGAACCGCGGTTTCGCAGGGGAAAGACCATGGTTTGGGATTGGATCTCAGATGTCACCCAAGTTTTGGGAGCTCACTCCACTGAAGTTTGGCACCAGGCGTCTGGTTGAGGGAGCTGGAAATTCCATGGTCGAGTACGTTATTAGTGGAAGTTTGTCAACGTTAGGTGTCGATCCATCAAACAAAAAATCTCCATGCATGACTCTGCAACTAGAAAAGACAACTTTGACTTGTGTGGATGATAGCTCATAGACGAATCAGATGTCGCGTTTGAAGCCTTCTAATCTATGGTTGGAGCTGCAGCTTGAATGACAGTGAAGTCCTGACCCCGGAGACAAATCCGTAGGTGCCAACCAAGGCGAATTCATTGACATCGTATCTGTCACTCCATCTGACAGCTGAACTAGTCTTCTTCTAACTTGGGCCTGGAAACTACTGTTGCTGAAATGTAAACAGGCTGCATATGGTAGCAACAGAAACTAAGTGACTATAATGGATTCTTATGGTTAAAGCATGTATCCTTCTTCACGTTGTATACGTACTATAGATTATACTTAGCGAAACAGCAAAGCCAGTAATCTACATCACCAACACACTATCCACTCGCTGTTCAGTAACAGAGCATCCTCGATAAGCTTGACATATAACCTCTTTTGAGTAATAGCTAGGAGGGAGGAGGGAGGAGGAAGGAGCAGGCAAGCATCAGTCGGTCTTCCGCCGGAAGGAGCACCCCTCGGTAAGCCGGGCTCGACCGCCGGTTGGCTGACAGAGCACAGTTTGGCAGTTCCCACAGATCACCACCGTCTGAGAGTGACTAAACACGGTAGTTCTGCATGCATGAGCCCAGCAACGTTACGTCCATAAACAACCATACAGCCACAGAGAAGCGAAGAAGACCTACTTAAAGAACACAGTTTGTGATCGGAACTCACATGTTGAAGCACCCTTGGCACTTCACATCCTTCAATCGACAAGAATCAACGGTGAAGAAGGTTTGTCGGCTAAAGAACAAGGAAGAAACTGACGTTTGATGAAAACAAGGAGACGTACCATGAAGAAGGAGTTCGGAGACTGAACGAGGCGCTTCTTCTTGTGGCGTCTCTTCTCGAGCTCCGGCGGAGGGTCGAGCAGATCGATGTCACCCGGAAGCACCTGAAGACGTCAGTAGCGTCGTATCAAAAGAGCAAGAATTGCACAGGAACATCCGAAACGAGATCCAACCACTCACCATCTCGTCACAATCCTAAGCAGAGAGCGCGCAAACCCTCAAGGAAGAGTCTTCTTCTTCGGAGGTGAGGATGGCAGCATCTTATCTCGCGCGGCTAAACGAATCACGGCCGATGGATGAACTGTCGTGTCCAAGAGAATCGAAGAAAGGTCTTGGCTTCTCCACCACGTTCGAGAGAGGCGGTTGCGTTGACATGACGGTGGCGGACAGCGGCGACGTCGGGAGAGTTCTGCTGCGTCGGATCTCGACACGTCGACTGCGACGTTTGGGCGACGCGTCAGAGCTGCGAACCCACACCGACTTGGGCCCGACAGGCACCACATCTTGTTAGTTTTCGATGAAAGTAATCATTTTAATTAATAGAAAATTAACTGCTTGTTATTGTCCCTATTAATCATGCAAGCATTTCTGCAGCATTTCCATAACGATTAGGTTAGAAATATTAAATACGAAAAATTTTGGATGCAAGCTATTATACGAAGATATGATTAATATTTGGGTCAGTCCAACGTGATTCAAACCCATATATATATATATGTATAAAATTAACCCATATATATGTATAAAATTATCTGATGTACTCTTCAGATAAAAACATCGAGTTTTTAATATGTCACTCGCATAAAAATTAAGTTCGTTAGATGTTTTTTGATTTAGTTCTTTCTACATTTAAATTAATAACATGAGATAAATAAGTATGATATCTTATGCACATAGACAACAAGGATAAAGATAATCTATAATTCTATGCTTTGGACCTGGGTGAATGATAATTTTTTTATTTTTATTTTCAGTTTCGATGTCATACAGAGAACATGTGTCAAATGGTGATTAATCGATAATATCATTCATAGCATAAGGTATTATGGATAATACTAATATAAATTTTAAAAAAATATATATTAAAATATTAAAAATAATAATTAATTTATACTATCTAATTTGGATGAGATTATATAAAATCTAATATATTTATAAGAATATAAGTCAAGTGAAGATAAATGGTTTATGTTCCATCTTCCTTCTTCTTTTGATTTGTTTTCAAAAAGATACCATTCATTTATTTATTTATTTTTTACAATCAAAATGTATGGATCCATACATTTGTCATTCTACAAAAGAAAACCTAACGAGGTTAACAAAAACATAAATTAACAAAAAACATACAAAATAAAACCTAATGTACTTTTGTCATTCTACAAGTTTTTTCTTATGAAATTGTCATTATTTCAATAGTATCTACTCATTCAAAACTTAATTTAAATATCATATTTCATCTCAAATATTTTTGAGATACTCTTGGGAAATCCTTATAGATCTCCCGTAAGAATCTATGAACCTATAAGAATCCATACAGCACAAATGCTTTTATTGGAATTTATTATTATCGTTCTCAAAATAGATCTTTATTATGCAGAAAAAAAAATAATCTATATACACTTGGGAGATCTAGACCACTTGAATATTTAATGTATATTGATGAGGGTAATAATGGCGACAAGACATCGGCTGATGTTAGTTGCCCTAGATGACGCCTCATGCCTCGATCGACCCGACAACACCTAGTCAATCGAACCGGAACGTCGGCCGAGGCGCATTAACGTCCTGCTCGGGCTTGGTCCTTCACGCCACGCCAACGCCAGTGTCAGACGCTACCACGAGTACGAGCCTGCCCCCTGCAAGCGGGCACATCAGGTAACAATAAACTTCCCTATAAATACTCTCGCGTTCTAAACGGGTAAGGGGAGGCGAAGAGACAACTTAGCTAAAGAAACCCCCTTCACCATCCACTAACGTGATCGTCGGAGGGGTTGGGCCGAGCTACCGACCCGACCTGTGTGCAGGTAGGAAGACGTAGCTGCTTCCCCCGAACGCCGAGGAGAGGGATCCTTACCTACGGGTCATCCCGACGAGCCCCGACGTGAGCCGATCCGTGCGGCCGCCCACATCAGCAACCCCGAGAGACCTCGAGCAAGATCCCCGCCATTCGGACCCATAACAAGCCGTATCGGCCCCGAGGCCACGACATAAAGTTGTTCACACCAAATAGATTGGCGCTAGAGGAAGGGCCCGAATGTCGAGGGATCGACATATCAACTTAAACGAACCCACTGTTGAGGGGTCACACTCGATTGGAGCTCCGGGGGAACATCCCCCGCATGGATATCTTCGAGACGAACCCCCCACCACGACCTTAGAGCACTATTGGCGGATGTTCAATGACCTGGGCTTGTTGCCACCCGACGGTGCCCTTGCCGACCCATCGCCCGTGTCGACCGAGGCCTTTCAGGACCTCACCCATCAAGTCCAAACCCTGGTCGGCGTTTATGACAAGCTTGCGACCTTCCAGGTTCCTTTGGTCCCTCTTGGAGCGACCCCCCACCACGGTGCCAGATATGCTCTCGAGCGGGCTAACCAGTATATCGCGGCGGAGGCTTGGGTGGCCGTGAGGAGAAGGGGCGACTTTCAGCAGCGGGCTTCATAGAAGAGGTCAAGCACCCGCGGTGGTTATCTGATGTAGTCCTCGTGAAAAGAAATCTAGGCCCTGCCTCAGTCTCTTCCGAGCGAAGGCTCAGTATCTACCTAGCCGCCTCCCACCTCGCGGTTAGCTCCGGCCTAACCCCCTTTTGTATCTACACGGCTCGATCGCAGACTGCCCGAGTCCACCTCAGCGCAGCCTGCCCGCCTGAGCCGTGTCCTTCAGCCGCAGTCTGCCCGAGTCCGCCTCTGCGCGGCCTGCCCACCTGAGCCATAACCCTCGATCGCAGCCCGCCTGTGTCGTGTTCCTCGGCCGCATGTTGCCCGAGACCACGACCTCTACTCGGCCTGCCCGATTGAGTCGTGCTCCTCGGTTGCGTGTTGCCTGAGACCACGCCTGCGCGGCCAGCCCGCTTGCGCTATGCTCCTCGGTCGCATGTTGCCCGAGACCACGCCTGCGCGGCCTGCCCGCCTGTGCCGTGCTCCTCGGCTACATGTTGTCCAGGACCACGCCTGCGCGGCCTGCCCGCTTGTGTCGTGCTCCTCAGCTGCATGTTGCCCGAGACCACAACCTCTGCTCGGCTTGCCCGACTAAGTCGTGCTCCTCAGCTACATGTTACCCGAGACCACGATTGCGCGGCCTGTCCGCCTGTGCCGTGCTCCTCGATTGCACGTTGCCCGAGACCACAACCTCTGCTTGGCTTGCCCGATTGAGTTGTGCTCCTCGGCTACATGTTCCCCGAGCCCACGCCTGCGCGGCCTGCCCACCAACGCCATGCTCCTCGGCTGCACATTGCCCGAGACCATAACCTTTGCTCGGCTTGCCCGGTTGAGTCGTGCTCCTCGGCTACGTTTTACCCGAGACAACGCCTACGCGGCCTGCCCGCCTGCGCCGTGCTCCTCGGTCGCCCACTACCCGAGACCACGCCTGCGCGGCCTGCCCGCCTAAGCCATGTACCTCGTCTGCCGACTACCCGAGTAAGCCTCTGCGCAGCCTGCCTGCCTGACCAAGTACCTCGGCTACCGACTGCCCGAGTATGCCTCTACGCAGCCTGACTGCCTGAGTCATGCTCCTCAGCTCCATGCTGCCCGAGACCACTACCTCTGCTCGGCTTGCCCGATTGAGTCGTGCTCCTCGACTATATATTGCCCGAGACCACGCTTGCGCGGCCTGCCCGCATGAGCCATGTACCTCAACTGCCGATTGCCCGAGTAAGCCTCTACGCAGCCTGCCTGCCTGAGCAAGTACCTCGGCTACCAACTGCCCGAGTACGCCTCTACGCAGCCTGACTGCTTGAGTCATGCTCATCGACTCCATGCTGCCCGAGACTACTACCTCTGCTCGGCTTACCCGATTGAGTCGTGCTCCTTGGCTATATATTGCCCGAGACCACGCCTGTGCGACCTGCCCGCCTGCGCCGTGCTCCTCGGCTGCACTTTGCCCGAGACCACGCCTGCGTGGCCTGCCCGCTTGAGCTGTGCTCCTCGATCGCAAAATGCCCGAGTCCGACACCTCGGCGTGAATCTTCTGCCTTGCTTAAGTCACACCCCACGGTCACACGTCGCACAGGACGATGACCCAGCAACCGTCCATCGCAACCCTCTGAGAAATTTCCCCGGCCGACCACAGTAACCAGCCAACCACGGGGCAAACTAGCAGAAACAACCACTTAAAGCAAAAGCCACGCCTCGGACCCCCCAGCAACCGCCGATGCATGGCTTCCTTCGGGGGGGGGGGGGGGGGGGTGGGGCTTGTGGGTGGGGAATATGATGAGGGTAATAATGGCGACAAGACACCAGCTGACGTCAGCTGCCCCAGATGACGCCTCACGCCTCGATCGACCTGACAGCACCTGGTCAATCGGACCGGAACGCCGACCGAGGCGCATTAACGTCCTGCTCAGGCTCGGTCCTTCACTTCACGCCAACGCCAGTGTCAGACGCTACCAGGAGTACGAGCCTACCCCCTGCAAGCGGGCACATCAGGTAACAGTAAACTTCCCTATAAATACCCTCACGTTCTAAACGGGTAAGGGGAGGCGAAGAGACAACTTAGCTAAAGAAACCCCCTTCACCATCTACTGACTTGATCATCAGAGGGGTCGGGCCGAGCTACCGACTCGACTTGTGTGCAGGTACGAAGAAGCTGCTTCCCCCGAACGCCGAGGAGAGGGATCCTTCCCTACGAGACGTCCCGACGAGCCCCGACGTGAGCCGATCCGTGCGGTCGCCCACATCAGCAACCCCGAGAGACCTTGAGCAAGATCCTCACCATTCGGATCCAGAACAAGCCGTGTCGGCCCTGAGGCCACGGCATAAAGTTGTTCACACCGAACATATATAATTTTTAGAAAATATTATTTTATGTTATATATAAGAATCCATAAACCAGAACTCATTATAAATCTTCGAAAATAAGAAGACACTCGCATGACACCTAAGTTGGTGAGAAAGATATATATTCGTAGACAAAAGAGATCCAAGTTGGTGAGACGAAGACATACTCTATTCTCTTATCATCGCATGTATCTCTCCTTCCTTCATCATAACTATTATCGAGGTATCACCATACAAACGACTTATTTAAGGAGAAAAAAATTTTGCTCACTTGGAATGATGTTAAGTACCAATTGATGTCCAGCAAATACCTTCCGAGATGTCCAAAGCCAACGTGAAGGAATGACTGGAAAAAGCGAAAGAGAGAATCAAGACATATACAAACCTATACTCGTATGGTTTAGCATCGATTCATTTATTGTTTGGTATATATATATATATATATATATATATATATATATATATATCCCTGCCAAGAGTTACGATGATCCCCTGCTAGTGCTCGACTAAGCGTTTACCAACTACGTATCAGGCGGCGTTCCGTACGGACCAGATGGTTCAGGATTCACGATCTCCGTTGGTGTGTGGGCGCTGCGAGTGCAGTTACCGCCCGAGGAGGCAGCGGGGCACGAGGCTCGCCAACTAACCGGAGGAGAGGAGCCGGTGGCCACGTGGCGACGGGGGTGCACCAAACTGGAATTCGGACGCCCGTGGCATCGAATTTGATCGTCCATCCCACGTTCCGTCCCTATAAATCTTCCCGGTGCCTCCCCATAGCTTCTCCATCCTGGAAGCGGCTCCGCGTCGCCTTGGCACTACTCCTACGACCGCTCCCCGGCCATCCCACCGTCCGTAACGATGGCCGACCTCCAGGAGATCCGCCGCTCGCAGAGGGCCGGGGGACCCGCCGCGGTGCTCGCCATCGGCACCGCCACGCCGGCCAACGTCCTCTACCAAGCTGACTACCCCGACTACTACTTCCGCATCACCAAGAGCGACCACCTGACCGAGCTCAAGGAAAAGTTCAAGAGGATGTGTACGTCACCTCTACCTCTTCTTGTGATATTACACTCACCCTATTTTGTTCCTTGATCTTTGAGAGACTTCGTGACCGACAAGTGTGTAGTGTGTGCCTCTCCAGACAGTCTGAGAGTCGTCCAAGAAGCGTGACTTCTTTCTTGTTGATTTCATACGTACAATCCTGCTTATCACAAACCAGCTGATGGTGTTGTATTGTTACCATAATTTAGTAGTATTTTATTGCCTGGTAGCATTTAGATAAGAGCTGTGTCATTGGTCTAGAATAGGACTTGTGCTTTCTGCTGGAAATGTTCTCTCCTTTACCAAAGGACCGTGCGTTATTGCATGGTTTTCTGTGGCTTCAGGCGACAAGTCGATGATCCGAAAGCGTTACATGCACCTCAACGAGGAGATCCTCAAGGAGAACCCCAACATCTGCGCCTACATGGCGCCGTCGCTGGACGCGCGGCAGGACATAGTGGTGGTGGAGATTCCGAAGCTGGGGAAGGAGGCTGCCGTCAAGGCCATCAAGGAGTGGGGCCAGCCCAAGTCCAAGATCACCCACCTGGTCTTCTGCACCACCAGCGGTGTCGACATGCCCGGCGCCGACTACCAGCTCACCAGGCTCCTCGGCCTCCGCCCCTCCGTCAACCGCCTCATGATGTACCAGCAGGGCTGCTTCGCGGGCGGCACCGTGCTCCGCCTCGCCAAGGACCTGGCCGAGAACAACCGCGGCGCGCGCGTCCTCGTGGTTTGCTCCGAGATCACCGCCGTCACCTTCCGCGGGCCCTCGGAGTCCCACCTCGACAGCCTCGTCGGCCAGGCCTTGTTCGGGGACGGCGCTGCTGCCATCATCGTGGGGGCCGACCCGGACCCCGCGATCGAGCGGCCCCTGTTCCAGATCGTCTCCGCCAGCCAGACCATCGTCCCGGACTCCGAGGGCGCCATCGACGGCCACCTGAGGGAGGTCGGCCTCACGTTCCACCTTCTCAAGGACGTGCCGGGGCTGATATCCAAGAACATAGAGAAGAGCCTGGTGGAGGCGTTCAAGCCGCTAGGGATCGACGACTGGAACTCCATCTTCTGGATCGCGCACCCCGGCGGTCCGGCGATCCTCGACCAGGTGGAGGCCAAGATCGGACTGCAGAAGGAGAAGATGCAGGCGACGAGGCGCGTGCTCAGCGAGTACGGCAACATGTCGAGCGCTTGCGTGCTGTTCATCCTGGACGAGATGAGGAACCGGTCGGCGGCGGACGGCAAGGCGACCACCGGCGAGGGATTGAAGTGGGGAGTACTCTTCGGCTTCGGGCCCGGGCTGACCGTGGAAACCGTCGTCTTGCACAGTATGCCAATCGTTGCAAACTGATGGCATGCAGCACTAGCAAGAACTGAACTCGTCCATCTTTCTCTTCCAGTATTCTACGCCTAAGAAGCTGTTTAAGCGTGTCCGATGGTGTTCAATAAGATGTATTCTGTCAGCTCAGTTTGATATGGATTTGGCTTAGATCATCAGTTCTCATTACTTTTGTTGATCAAAATGGAATTCACCATCCCTGCATATAAAACCGAGGCTGAGTAGGCTTAACCTCCATCAAGAAATATCATCTTTTTCTTCTTCCTGTTCAGTGAATTAATCGCTTGTTGAACATCACCGGTATCAAACTCATGTCAGTCCAGTTAGTCTTAGCCATGCTAACCTTCCACATCAGGCAAGTTGAAAAGACTGTAACAATTCCATCAAGTTGGCAAAAAGAACTCAATACAATGTTCAACAGTCTAACAATAATAAACTTGTAGTCTCGTGGTGGCAGGATTAATCGGTGACCAGATCTTCCTGATTCCAGTTTTGGAGTTCAAACACACATACAACCTGGGATCAGTTTCTCATTCACAGGACATATAGAATTACAACTCACGGCTGCTGCTACAATACCTAATGCACAAAAAACTTCTACAAAACACCCGAAAGTTCATCGAAACCCATCGGCTACCCTTTGTAAGGTGATCATCCGGAACCAGGCTATAAACTCGGTCGAGATGTCAGTGCAGTCAGTAGTGGTCAGGAACTTGCTCCTGGGAGGTATATGCGGTGAACATTGCTCAGAGAGAGTTTCTCCCGGCAAGTTGGGCATCTCCGCTGCACGCGGATGGCGTTGGTGATGCAACCGCCGCAAAAAACGTGTCCACAGGTCGTGGATGTCTCCTCCTTCATTGTGTCCATGCAGATTGCACATTTCAATTTGACCTCATTAAAGTCACAGAGGTATTGGCTGGAAGATGCCTGTCGTATCTAGATCACATCAGGACAGCAAAACTAAATAATTTAAAGATATATTTCATTAAAATGAATCAATAACCATGGTGATTAAGAAAGACATGAAACAAAGGCCAACAATCAAATTAGCACATGAAACTAGGGGTGCCAACAACCCAGATGACATGATCATCCAACCCAGATTTAGCCCCGCCAACATAGGTATGGATCCTTAAAACTAGATCAATTAGATTTCTGGGTCAGGTATGAATCCTCAGTCACACTCAGTACCCAAAAACATGTTTGGAGCAATGTTCTACCAGAACCTGATGGTTATTATGGTTGGATCAGCATTTAGATCCTATAATTCGTTATCTGATGGAGACCAAACTGGCGTACGAAACACCCTCATGCCAATGGAGGAATTAAAACCCCATATCTACCAAAAGTAAGGTCCATGAAGCCACCGAAGAGTGTGGAGACCATCATAAATTTAAGAGCAAGGGCACCGAGCTTTGCTCAATTCTCCTTTAAGCTTTAACCAAAAGGAGAAAAGCATCCCAATAATTAAAACTGTAGAAGGCAATCAAAGTAAAAACTATCGGATAATTAGAAAACGAAAAAGGCATCTCAAGAATACATATATACCTTGCCAGATTTCAGAGCATTTGGGTCTTTAAATTTAAATTCCAATCTATTAGTCCCACAAATCGAATTCCCAAGATGGACATGAGTGGCTGCAGAGAATCAAAAGGAAAAAGGAATGTATTAGGTGCCAATATATAAGTCAACTTCGAAGATATAGAGCAGACGTCTCACTGGTATGAAGTGGTGGCCTACACTTTTATGTGCTCGAGAATTACAAATGCGCTTTAAGGAATTATATATGCAACAATGCAGTAACTTTCTCTAGTCTCCTAAATTCTAAAATCATAGATGACCCTCAAAAGCAACAAGCAGCATCAACCTTTCTCACCAAATTCACCATTAAAATCTTCATTTTCCTCTGAGTCGTTAAAGCCTTAGCAAGCTGAACTTGAAACAAAGTTTATCTCATAACTAGTACCACTAAGCTATTTTGAACAATGATGCATATCTGATCGCATGCAGCATATAAGCAACGGATAGCTACAAGTGACAAAGTAGAGACAACTTGCCTTCAGTGACATATTGTTGTGAATGTTGGCATATCAATGAGGTCTTCGTATTTGATTTTTATAGAAATGCATCTTTACTCCGAACGTTTCACAATCAACAAATTACAGGTAGTTCCAGGAAATAGTACAAAGAGTTTTATACATCATTTTTCTACTCGAGCAGTGATTTCTACTAAGGACTTAAAACTAAAAGCAGCAAGTTGTGCAAGAGGATGCTTCACTTACCTCCAACTCCGAGACGAAGTTCCAAGTCCTCTTCTCTAATTACATGTTCCCATGAACTTGAATATGGGTAGGAACTAAATGCCTGCATTAAAAGACATACACATGAAGCCCAAAAAACAGCACAAAATACCTCAAACTGTGGGGGAAAAAAAATCAACTAACTAGAACAAAATAAAGAAGCCCAAGGTAAGCATTCTACTCAAGTACCACTTCTGGATGTTCAGGAGGGTTTATCAGCCTGTTGTCATAATCGCCGTCATCATCGATCAATATTATCTCACGGTAAGTCCTTAAACAATCAGCAGGCGGCATTCCAACTTTAGATAGATAAGAAGGACCGAGTCTCAACTCAAGATCTTGAACAGTTTCTCTGACTGATCTCGATCGATTCATCATAACTGACGTTTATCTATCACAGAATACCCAAAATTAGTTTCAGGTTGACAGAGTACCAACTATAAGTTCTTCGTCTCACTCCAAAGAGAACAATTCTCATCTTAAAAATCACTAATTTGTGATCACATAAGCAAAAGGTAAGCATTTAAGACACTCTTTCGAAGCAAAAGAACATCACGCATGAAGACCAACAGAGACAGTATCTACAACTCCAAGAATACGTTGCAATATCAACAACAATCTGTGGCTACTTGGAGCAAAAAATTTGCAGCTCAAGAAGTCACTTTTCGCGAATAATTGCGAGAAAAAGGATAACTTTGCACGAGGATCAACCAAAAAGACAAGCAAAACAAAAAATACGAACAGACGACTATAAATCAAATGTAAACGGTGCTAAAGAACGAACCTTTTCAACACAACCAAGGTCCGAAACAAAAACCGATGGTTCTAACCCTAGAAAGGGTACCTAAATCCCGGAATCGAGCAAGACCGAGGGAAAAGAAGGAACCTTTCTACCGAATCGTCCTTACCGACACCCAAATCTACGAATTCGGCAAAGAAATCGTCGGTGTTCGACCGTTCTTTCAGCTCGCCCAGCTCGCCGAACAGGTTGAGACTGTGGAAGCGGAGAAGAGCAGTAGCGGAACGAGAAACCCTAACCCCAGCCTCCAATGCGAAATGAGGCATCCACAGGATTAGACAACACAATAAATAACTCCCACAATTTTAATTATAAATTCGGAAGAAAAAAGACAAGAAAAAAAATAATTTATAAGCTTTCAACGACAAATTAATTTATTTTATGCACCCAGAAAAACATATTAACTTCTTGCAATCACCGAATTCTACAAGAAAAGTAGTTAAGATTGATAGAAAATAATAAATTGTAAGATTTTTTTTATCATTTATAAGTATATTTAAATAAGCTCCGAGAATTTAAATATAAAAGAATGTAAATATTAAATTAAATAATTCAAATATCGATTTGTCGATGGACATAACGCTTTCAATCTTATCGGTCTATCTAATTTATTTGAAGTGTTTAAGTTTACTAATTAGTTCTTCTAATTTTATTTTTCTCTTATTTGATTTTATTTTTCCTATTAGAAATATTTAATTCCTATCCGCATTTCCCAACCGTACACTTGTATCAGATACGTGGGATTGATTAGATGGGTTTTCTTCTCCACCAATGAGATTTGCTGATGAAGACACGTGTTGCAATTTGAGGCACGGTGCCAATGTCACAAATTGATGTTTGTATAGATATATATCCTTTATATTGGGATTAATGTGGAGAAGCAGGCAACGCGCTTGAGATCGCGTTGGCGCCCATGGCGACCTCGAGGATGCCAAACCCTAATGCTAAATGCTCCTCGATCTCCTCATCCGCTTCTCAGGTGCCAACCTTTCCTCCGATCGATTCCCTAACGCTCTCTTGTTCTTGCGGATTCGATCCTCCGATTCTTGATTTCGTCTGATTCTATCTTCACTTTCGATTCAGATCCTTATGTTGGAACCTTTGGTGTCGACCTCTCCGACGAGGAAAGCGAACGCCGTCTTCGTAGCGGGTAATTTATCGTCAATTTGTCATAAACGAGTCGATTGATCCGTGATTCTGAAGGGCGCAAAGAATGCTTCTACACGTGGGTAGGAGGTCGCTGCGTAGCAGCAGGAAGAGGGAGTTTTCGTTTGAATTGGATTTGATCGTAGGCCGGGAGGAAGATTCGTGCCACGGGTGAGTTCCATAGCAGAGCCATCGATGGTATGAATTGTCTTATCTTCCATCTTCTCCTTTAATCTTATGTTTGCTCTGTTCGGTCTGATCTGCCCTGATAATGCAAATTTCTCCCAAGATCATTTGTTGAGGTTTCGTAATGTCTCAAAAGAATCTTGGGATCATTTGGTTAGTTGCTCGCAACTAATTGGGAGAGGGAAGTTTCATATCGATGAGAAGTCCTCGACCTTCGGCCAATTATGTTCTTTAAGAACCATCATCTTGCTACTTCACCATGGCACCGACTAGCTTTGCTTGCCAACCATTATATCTTTCCTCTCATTCACCATGACTGGTAGAGTCAGTTTTTCTCTCATACAAAAGATCTTAAACTATATTCATTCCTCACCACTGTAAGACGAGCTAATTACGCCAATAGCTCCACCACCATTTCATACATTAGTCTCCAGAAAAGCCAAAAAAGGAGGAAGAGTTCGCTTCAGTGACCAACAAACTAAGAATTACAGATAAGCATCCAAACCAGATTTATTTAGATCGTCATCCATGACCGACGAAGATGTGCGTGTTCATAACTGTCCTACGGACTGATGACTTTTAGAGAATCACCCTTCTCTTTCAGATTAACCAGCAAACTATCGAAACTCTTCTTGAAGGACTTGACACTAAGCTGCGCCCCAACCTCATTCCAGTTGATCCCCAACCTCTCTAGTGCACTGTAAACTCCTTCGGTTTTCGAGATATTCGAATCAATGGTCCTTGAGACGACACCGTGATCTATAAAAGGCTTGTAGAACCTGATCAGGCATGGTCAAAACCTGAAAGCATAAATAAAAGTACATGTGATGATAAGTACATTATTATTACATGCAAAGCCTGTAGACCGGAAGGAATGCCAGATGCATTATTGCTGAAGGTACATGCTTGATGCAATTTCCTACAGTGAGAAAATAATGCATTCATCCTAGTAGAATCTAGTAAATCTATTAGTATCTGTCATGGTACCACAACATGAAGATCATCGATGAAATCTTCAGTACATATGTTCAGACTTGTCACCATTGAAGAGTATACAAAATCAATCTTTGTGTGTGTGTGTGTGTTTGGGTAGGTGGTTTTTGTGGGGTTTCTAAGGAAGGGTAACTTGGTGTAACTCACCGTGTCAGGTCCAATTAGTGGATCTACATAGAGGTGCCAGGATACACAGGATTCTTAACACTAGTTGAGGCCCACAATAACCTCTGTTTTTTGGCACCCTTCTTTACTAAAGCCTTCCAACGAGGACCAGAAAATTTCTTTTGGTACAGCTTATAAGCTAGGGTTGATTGAGCTATTGCTGCCTGCAGGATTTGAACATACAAAAGGTGAGAATGTTTATAACCTTTTGGTTTTAGAGGCCCCAAGTAATGGATTTTATACCTTTCCTCGGAGATCAAGAACTTCAGGTGTCCCAATCTTTTCCAGCATTTTGTCGATGAGAGTGTCAACACGACTGACACAGAAGGAAGCCACGCTTGCAAGCTTAGATAGGTCATTCAGCCCAGAAGACTCAAGACCGTCCAAATATGCATCAATGACTGCTTCATATCTAGGCAGTGAGAAGAATCAGCACAGGAAAGGACAATATGAATGGAGATATCATGCTATAAAAGCATACAGAATATGTCAAAAACATGTGATGCTTGATAGTTACTTTAAGAAAATAATCATTTAAAAGATCAAGTTTGGCACTGCAAGATGATGCAACTAAGGGCAGCTTAGTCATCTGATCTCCAGATGTGACGGAGAATTAGAAAATAGATTCAATCGAGTCTAAATTTTCTCAAGGTGTTAGCTAGGTCACTAGTTTCTGTTAATGTTATTTCAGGACCATTTCCGGCAGTCAGAGATTAACTTGTGTAGGTGTCCAGACTGAACAAATCATTTGCTGTTATCTCAATCACGTTGTAATTAATTTTTTTCTCTCTCTCCAAGATTCTTACATTTGGTAGGTTACATGAAGAAATAAAACAATAGATAACTAGACATTTTCAGGTAGAAATAAAACAGTAGATAATGTCAGACATTTTCAGCCCAAGAACTAATCTGAGATGATGGGCAATGAAGTCAAATCATAAATCCAAACTATGCAGCTTATAGCAAGAACTGTTTCTGCTGAACAATTAAATGATCACAGTTTCATTTTGTTCAGCACATTGTATCAAATCTGAGAGAACTAGCTTCTTGAGATAAAGTGTGACTATGATCTTTTACACATTTGGATGAAGCAACAAATTCATCCAGACTATTGGTGGGGCCTATAAGACCATGACTGATCCTCAAAGGTAATGAATGGACAAAAATAACCAGTTATGAAATCTGGGTCAATCGAAGTGAAGCTTGTCTATGAACAAGTTTGGGCAGATTATAGAAATGTTAACCAGAAGTGCATCAAAAGCAAAACAGTTAAAAGATTACAACTAGACAAACTGTAGTTAATAAAACATAGGAATAATCCTATAACAATTATAAGAAAACAGTATTGTCCATATGGATAGGCCACAGAATTAGTAGCTCCATTAAAAGGATGGTGTTTTATAACATTAGTAAATAAAGAACATAACTGAATGTCAAGAAGGCTGAAACATAGGAGTTTAAGTCCATCAGAGAAACACACAAAGCATTTCAACTTACTGTCACATTAACACTTATGCCAAGTGAAATAACTTGTTTAATGGAAGAAACACATTCAGCTGTAGCTGTGGGCGGTCAACCATTTTGTGCAACCATTTAGCAGCTTCAATGGTGCCATTAGTGTCATTTGGAAGTCTAGGAGAGACTTCAACAGATACAGAACCATCTGCACCATCTGTTTGATCATAGATGGGCTAAAAAAGTTTGCAAGCATCTTGAATGTCCTTTATAACAAGCTCCCAATAAGCACTTTCGTTGTCCTTGCCTGCCACCGCCAGCTGCCTATAGACCAAAATTGCATTTAGTTAATGAATATGTATACAGATTGCAGACAGATGATCATGTTAAGAGGAAGTTTACTGTTGGATTGCTGTTTACACCCCTGACACCGCTAGCAATCAACGGTATTAAATCTGATACCGGGTGACAAAGATTATCATACCATGGAGACTGTCTTGCTGTTCATAAAGATCGTGGAGGGGTTGTCCTCTTGGATGTGGCACCATTTCCATCTTGAGCTGAGCACTTCGATCTAGAAATAATTAAAATTCAGATGAATTTCTACATAAGGAAGTATCTTAATAACACGACACAGAAAAAAAAAGATGAAGAGTATTAGCTAAATTAAAATACAACTAAGAACTAGGTTATACAAACCATGGTATGCAATTTCGAATAGTATCGCCCGGTACGGGCGATACGTACCGGTCCGACGGCATACCGGTATGCAGACCGTCCGCTATAGTACTATAGTGTTGTACTGTAGCAGTGCTACAGTGCTACCGTAGAGGAAGAAATATTTAAAACCACTCGATACGTCCTGGTGTACCGAGCGGTACACGGTACCATACCATATCGAGCCAACCTCGAAACATCAGTACAGTACGGTATTGCATACCTTGATATAAAGTTATAAACCATGTATAAATATTGCAGTGCAACTTGACAACAAAGTCAAAGTTCAACTGTCATCATTCGTCATTACTACAGAGCTTATCATCTTTTTGAAGTGTATGGCCTCACCAGATTACCGGTTAGTAATTCATCTTCTGCATGATGAACGGTGAATTGCCTCAAAAATTCAGTAGACCTTGCAGTGACAATGCATGGACATGAGATGGAGTTGTACACTTTAGCTACAATCAATGGTGATGCATAGGCCCACCCCATGTTATGATCCCAGTAACAAGCTCTTCCTGATCTTCCCCAAACCAGAGTTCAATTAAACATGTTCTTGGACAAACCGTAGACTTCAATTAAAGATATCGACTTGACACAACTCATTTAAAAACTTCGTTGCAGAGAACAGAAGAAACAAGGTCTAAGACGGGGGTAGGATTCTTGAGATTATGGCATATTTGAGACGATCGAAAAGAAAACAAATAAGCAATAATATAAGAAAAGAGATTTCTTGGTGAAGCATACATAAGCGAGTTCCTCTTGGCGCATTCTCATCGAATTGAGAGGCTAAGGGGAGTGGTTGGGCTCCGTACTGTACTACCTCCCCTGTGGGAGACGACTGGGAGCCTCGGCTCGGATGCCCGCAGAGGAGAAGGTGGCGAAAGATGGGTTGTAGAGTTTTGAGATCGAGGCCGGGGTTGGGAGGTGGATGAGGAGGGCAAAAAGGAGGTTCTTTTAGGAGGGATTTTAGTGGAGCGATGCAGATGGAGGAGGAGGAGGTGGTCAGGGGTTTGAGGATGCAACAAAGGGTAGGCGAGGGGTAAAATGGGGCGAGTAATCCCGCGATGGTGGACGGGTGTCGGCTGCGAGACAAAGAAACACCTTCTGTCTCACTAGACTGAGCGTGACGTTAGCAGGATAATGTGGGACCCTGGTTGCTTTGCGAGATGCCGCTATTTGTGCTCTGCCTCCTGTTGGACAGGCGATCTTTGATCGTTGTCAATATATACATGCCTTCTTTCTCGTTTCTATTAGAAGTTTGGGTAGCCATTAAAAGCTTCAAGAGGTAGGTCGGATCATGTGACTCCTCTTTAGGGTTTGCAAGTGGTCGGGTTAGGGAACTCGAGAACTTGAGCTTTTATTTTTTCTCTTTTAATCTTTTTTAAGATTTCATGACTTTGATTTTGATGTTCCAACAAATTTCTATCTCAATTTAAAAGAACACCTTTCAAGGATTTTTCTTTTGGTTTGACTTGATGTCCTAAGGTTATACATGAACTCCAATAAATGTATGTCATGGTCATTGTTATAATTATGCCTCAATTATCTAACAATAATATGCAATAGACATTTCACGGAATTGATGTGGATGGTTTAAAAGTTAGTTTCGATTTGGAATTTGGGCTCTTTGGGCCACGACTTGTAGGACTAGCGATATTTGGCCCGGCCCAAATACACATCTTTTTCTTGTGATCCCTAGGCTATTAGGCCTTCTTGCTCTCATTCACATTCTAATTTTATACGATTTGTGGTGATCCCAATCCCTCTAATTCTTATAACATGCGCGAAAATTGGCTTTGATTAGCTAATGAGCTATTATCCATCACAATAAATATTATATATATATGTATATGTATATATATATGTATATAGTATGCATACATATACATATATGTATACATACATACATACATACATACATACATATATATATATATATATATATATATATATATATATAATGAGCTCGGCTTCCTGCCCATTTAAGTACGCAAGGGTGGGTTTCTTTCATTCCCGCCGACCCCAAGAAAAGGAGAGAGAAGAGCTGGATCGTACTCGCTTGTTGCATTGGTTGGGGGCGCTGGATCATGAGAAGAGCTCGTTGGCAAGAAGCTTTTGATGATTTCCTTTTGCATCGTTGCAGCGTTTCTTCCGGTGTTCAGTTGCGTGCATTCCGTCAAGTCTCGGCCTTCTTGGCTAAGCTTGACCTCATTAATCATTTCTCCTCGTAATCCATTGTGTTACTCGGGCGGCAGAGCTCTACCTGGAAGCGGTCACTCTGTGATTTCTGGATCTTGGAGGTTCCTTTGTCTTTAGGTTGGAAGTTCTTATTTCCCCGATCTTTTTTGTCTCATTTCTCGGACATTAGTTTGTTTCTGTTGCAATTAAACTTTATTGGTCCTAAGTTTGTCGGTTTCTTTGGCTTGACGCTCGAATTCCCTAATTTCTGATCTTTTGTTTTGTTTCTTAGATGATTCTGTCTTTTGTTTCGATTTCTTGGATGAGGTTTGCGTTCTCTTGTGGTAGAACTGTGTCGCCCCGAAGCCTTGTCAGATTTCTGGAAGTGATCACTTCAAGATTTCAGGATCGTGGAGGGGTTCTTTGACTTCTCGATGGAAGACCTTTATTTTTTTTAATTTTCTTTTCTCTGATTTCTTGAACAAAGTTTGTTTTCTTTTGATTTCTTGGAATTAGGTTTTTAGGATGGTGGTGTTGTGCTGGATCATGGAGCTGGGAGGACAATCTTTTGTCCGCTAAACTTTTTGATGCTTTGCCATCTTTCATTCGGATGTGTCCTCGGTGTTGTAAGGAGCTGGATTTTTGACACCATCAGAATCTAGGGTTTTGGCAGTAAATTCATTTTTTTCCAGATGGCCATAACTAAGAACTTCTATAAAAAAAGTATCACGACGTAACTTATTCCAATGATTTCTTGTTTATGCTTACCACCTGCCTAAATATCTAATCACGTCTGTTCTACTTCTTTGTGAACCACCTTCTTGCTAGTGACGTTTGGAACTGTTCCGCGATTCTATGGTTGTCTAATTTTCTTCTGCAGATCTTTCAATTCTTTGATTCCCACTTATTTGCTATATCTTGAAGCTATTGGTTGAAGTTTCCCGTTGAAACTAATGTGTCTCTTCGACCAGGATCTTTTATTGTTCTTGTTTGGAGGTGATTTCTAGTGTACTTTTAAAGTTACTTCTTCACTCACTGCCTTCTACTGATAGAACTGTGTTTTCTTGTCCCATACACACGTGGAGTTGCTCTGTTCATAGATTTCTCTATAGCTATATTTCTGAAATATAGATTCTTTTGTGTTTTGGGTTGGGAGTGGGAGTTTTGTTTTCGTTTAGATGGAAGATCTTTTGTGTTTGTCTCGGACCTGTTTGAGGAGCTCTGTTGCGTTTTTTTTTTTTTTTTTTTGAAGTGTAGAATTCGTGTATGTGTGAATTATGGATAACAAAACCTCTTCTAGGGTCAAACCTACAGAACGCAGACATGAGTTGATCTGCCTTTTGGATGCAGCGGGTTTCTTCACCTGATGAAGGAATTTGGTGACTCAAATCCGAGAATTAATGCTGATTTCTCTCTTAAATATAGCATTTTGCTGTTTAAAGGAGAATATATTGTTTTACTGATGTATTTGGCCAGAAGAGGAATTATTGTTTTATCTTTCGGATGTCAGCCAATTGGAGTTTCCATCACATGTGAGAAACATAACTCGCTGGTCTTCAATCTCATGTGAGAAACATAACCCGCATTTCACGAATTGTTTTTATGCAATTCTTACTCTGAGAGAAACATTACTCTCGAGGGTTGTATTCTCACTCTGGTTCCTTTCCCGGGCGGCTGCCAATATCGTTCGGAGTGTTGCTATTGCGAGCAGTTATGCAAGCCAGGTGAACATCACTACAATGGTTATTACGAACTGTAGCCAAAGCAGAGTTACCTCACATGATTGTTAACGTGTTGGATTGCTTGCGTATTGCTGCTCAGCAAGAATGTTCCGGAAATTAGCTTACATCATGAACACGTGGTGGGATGTGCTTTGTATGGGAAGAGAGAGAGAGAGAGAGAGAGAGAGAGAGAGAGAGGACGGAGGAATGACGAAGGCGAGGGATGGAGGAATAGAGAGCGGAAAAAAAATGTAAACAGATGATATCATCAGCAGCAAACGAAAAAGTTTTTTTTTTATAAGTCATCCAAAATGTTAAGCGTTAGTGCGTCAATATCTTATTTGAAAATGTTATGTCCATGATACCTTTGTTTCCAACAAGTCCATACTTGCATCGGATGCTCTTGTGCATGTGAACCGAACGCTATCATGCATCTTTTATAAAGCTCTCCTTTTGTTCGATACACTTGCATGACCACAACATGTCTCGATGACCACTTGCATTTGATACTATATTTAATATATCGTCATGCATCTTCTTCTATGTTCGATACTACGTAAGCACTTTAAGGCATATGCTTAGGTATCCTCATGTATGTGTCTAACACTTTTCTTGTAAATTGGTACTCACACATTTTGTTCCTTTAACACTAATGTGTTTTTCACATCTAAAACTTACAAATCTACTATGTTTGACACTCCATAGAGCAATTAAAGTCAATATGTCTCAATGCCTTGTTACTTCTTGTTTGTCCAACACTCACAACATGAATAATCGAAGTCAACAGACTGAGAAGACAAATCAAGTTGGCATGCCCAGGTACTCCAAAGTGTCTCCATGTTCCATGCACCCTATGCAGATAGAACTTGTGGACATTAGTTAAACATCCTTGGTGCAAAATGATTGTACAATTTCTGAGGCAATAAGTGGAGCCATTATACCAGATGTTCTCGATGGGCATTCAATTTTCGAAAAATGTGATTAGTCAACTTCATGGCATGGGGTTGGCAATCATCTCCAACACTAATAAATGCATGCTATTACACTTGCTACCTAAATTTAGAAACTAATTCTTACATTTTTCTTCCTAATTTCTTACTTTTCTTTATTTTAATGTTTATAATTTCTTTCATTTCTAGTTTCTTACTATTACACTAACAAAATGCAATCGCTGGACTAGGGTTTGACGGGAAGAACTGATAATTTACCTTATTATAATCCTATCCCGTACCTTCTCCGACAACAATAAGTTCCTTAGGAACTAAAACTAAATTCATCAGAAACAAGGTAATTTGCAGAACTGGACAATAAAACGATGTGGAAACACAGGGTTTTCCTCAATTGTGTCTGGTTCTCTGTCCTCGTGGCTGAAACTACATGGTATAGAAGCGTGTCAAACAAACCTAGTCTTATAAGAATATGGATAATCTTTCCTGGAGAAAGAAAATGCGGAGGAGGTCTAGTTTTTCAATTTAATACAGTAAAGCAAAAAATTATTCAACTATGTAAGAAGCACTAACCTTTTCAGTTTTATTTCTTGAACCGTGTGTTCTTTTACTAGCTGAAGGGACCAATAAACTTGTGATTCTCAGGAACAAGATGTTAAAATTGGAGATACAAGAATATTGACGTAAAATCATGGTACACCGAGCATGATGCGAGGATTCCAAAATTGAATAACATTGATCTTCATATATAGCTTTCTTTGAAGTGTGGGAGGCCATGGACAACGTATAAGAGCCCCAGAAAAGATATTATGATATCAGTAAAAACTGCAGAAAGAGCAAATGGTTCCTCAGTTGTTGCAATGTCATTCAAAAATTTACCAAGTGTTAACCAGAGAATACAATCGATGAGCTTACAAATATTGCATTTTGTTTCTTTCTTCCTGTTCTTCCATTCACGTTTGTAATTTTTCAGATTAAAGAAGAAACGGATGCAATTGTTGGACTAGGGTTTGAAGTACTCATAATTTACCTCCTTATAATCCTGTCCCAGACCTTCTTGGTTTAGGGCAAGTGCCTTATGAACCAATTCATAAGAAACGATGTACCTTGAGCCAAGTTTATCATCTCATATTATTCGTCTCTAGTTAGACCAGTACATGTTGATTGGTACAGGTGTATCGAGATATGATACACCAGTACATACTGATTGGTACAGATGTATCGACATATGATACACCAATACATACTGAAGACTCGAGGAGGAAATATAAGAAGAGGGAGGAACATATGGAGAAAGGGGAGGAGAAAGAAGTTAGGAAAATGTAGGGAGAAAGAGGAGGCAGTGGAGGATAAGAGAAAGGAGAAGAGGAAGAAAGAAGAGGAGGCAGAGGAAGAGGAAGAAAGAAGAGGCCATAGTAGAGGAAGAGGAAGGGAAAAAAGGAAGAGGATGAAAGGAAAAAGAGGAAATAGTGGAGGAAAAGGAGGAGGAGAAGAGGAGGAAGCATACTCGAAATTGACAATGGGTGACGAACAATAACATCAGAATATACGAGGAAGAGGGCTTGCAACTGCAAGACCTAAGCTAGTGGAAATAATTTTTTTCTATTATTAGTGAACTAGACCACAGGAAATAAGGATGATCTATGTATCGGTTTACAACTAGATCGGTACATATCGTTTGTTTTGTGCCAATCCGGGTGAAACCACATTCCATGCCTTCAAGGTCGCAGAACTAGCAAGTAAAAGACTAATGAGAACACGAAATCAAAGGCATAAGAAACCACGTGGAATAACATGACTTTGTGTTTTTTTTTTCATTTGAAATTAATTGTGTCTGGTTTCTCATTAGAAACTACTCAGTTGAAATCACATAGTAACAGATGTGTGCAGTTATCAGAGGTTCATCTATAGGAATATGTATAATCTTTAATGCAGAGAGAAAATGATGCGGATATGATCTTTTAATTCAATACAATGAAGCAATAATTAATATCGGTAAGGAGCACCAACCTTTTTGGATTTATTTCTTGATCCGTGTGTTCCTTTAGTAGCTGAAGGAACCTCTGCAACAACAGTTGAGCACAGGGTATCAATAAACTAATAATTCTCAGAAACAGGATGTCGAATTTGAAGATTCAGTCTACAGGAAACGTCAGCTTTTTAAATAGGTCAAACAAGATTGAGGCAGAACATATATGGTATGAGCAAAAACAATATAATTGATGTTCAAATATAGCTTCTTAGAATAATGAGAGGCCATGAACATGTATTAGAGCCCTAGAAAAAATCTAACGATAACAACAGACAGAAACTTTGTTCTCAAATGTTGCAATGTCATTTAACAAATGCAACTAATTATCTAGACAAATTAAAGATGCCATCCACTATATATAATATAGATCTATTTTATATGAAGAGGTTACAGTTGAAAAGGTCCATATAGAAGGTAGAGTGCAAAGGAGTGTGTTGCATGGCAAGTCTATGAATTGTAAGAGACGATCCAACAGGACTTCTAATCAATGTCATGCTTACCGAACTAAGCTCATCCACGAGATAGTTACTTCTCCTACATCCCTCAATTTGCAGAAATGCAGTGAATCTCACCTTATCTCAAGAGATTAAATTGAAGAAACGCAAGAAAAGAAATTGAAGAAATCAAGATGAAGGAAGAGGCAGAAATCAAAATCGAAATAAACAGACATAACCCTACGAAGGATCAAAAACACAATGGCGAAGGGACATAGATCACGGGCAAAAAACGAAATCAAGGAAGCAAACAATTACATCTGCTGGAAAACCGCCACTCGCAACACGAGAGCAAGCTGTTCACATAGAATCCCAAAATAACCACAGCTCGAGATCGAGTTACGGAAGAACTCAAGCAAACGCAACCGATCCTCAAGAAAGAGGATTAGCAAACCACCGAAGCGTATGATTGAATCAGAATCTGAGACGAACGAGTAATTGAAGGAAGCGAACCCACAGGAGACAAGCGTTCAAGAAATCAATTCACAGAACTCCATATTCGAGCACCGTCTGCCGATCATTTTCCATGTTTCTTACGGACAGCTAACTCCTGTGGTTTTAGAGTAGCAACAAGTAATTGAAACTAGAGGAGTGAAGAAATCGAGAAACCCCTCCAAGAACTCGAAGCAACTCAGGAGGCGATGAAACGGATCAAGCGAATCACACCTCTCCTCTTTCCTCTAGGACTCCTCCTTCGGTTTCACGGCAACAAGTAGTCGGATCGAGTAGACCCACAGGAGAGACGGAATCAAGAACGAGTATATCCATAGGAGAGAAGGAATCAAGAAACCGTTACAAGAACCGGAGGCAAGGCAAGAGAGAGGAGGCGTAATATGGGATCAAGCGCATTACCAATCTCCGCGTTCCATCACCTTCTGCGCCATCACCGCGTTTGTCCGTGGGATCAAGAAATCCGCCCCCAAGAACTCGAAGCGGCGAACAGCAGAATCAAGCGCATCAAGTAATCGAAACGAGCAGACGCACAAATCAAGGCCCCGTTTCAAGAACCGTAAGTTAGGAGGCGAAAAATAGGGATCAAGCGCATTACCTATCTCCGCGCTCGATTTCCTGCTGCGCCATCCCAGCGTTTGTCCGTGGGATCAAGAGATCTCTCCCGGAACTCGTAACGAGCAGACCCACGAATCAAGAACCCATTTCAAGTACCGCAAGCAAGGCAAGAGAGAGGCGGCGAAGTACAGGATCAAGCGCATTACCCTACCTCCGCGCTCGATCTCGATCGCCTCCGCGTTCGTCCTTCCATGGCTCTTCCTCAGTTCGCTGCGGAACGGCGAGCGGGAGCCGTCGACATCTCTTCTCGGGAGCGAAGCGGACGACATGGCTCCCTTACAGAGTCGAGTCAGAACCGACTTGATCTCGTCATGGTTCGGTTCGGATAAAGCAAGAAGACACGTCTCAACGACTTCCATATAACCGACACGAGCTCTCCTCGTCATGGTTGGGCTCAACCAACTCCTATACATCAATTAATTGGACGATCCATTTATTCCATGTATTTCTAATGTATATTCGGAAACATTTGTTTGCTTCCTATTTAATTTGGATTATGACCAATAGGACATCAATCACCATTGGAGTGAGTGATGGGATATTGCTGAGAATGCATTGAGGATGATGGACTATGACACCTTTGAGAGTGGCACATTTCGGCCCTATCGAGAACCATAGGATATGAGATACACACGTGGCTAGCAATGTCAACATACCAACTTGCGTGCTTGGCAAATGAATTGCCAACATACCAACTCTGATGATTCATTTGCGGTAGGACACATCCTCAATAATATAATAATACTCCTCAAACCTCACGCGTGAATCTCCAATGGATACTTGGAACAGAGGTCTGATGGCTTCTCACTTCACATCCATGAAAGCTTAACTTGAAGAAGAGCAAATGAAAAGAAACATCACTGATTCGTATTATTACCAGGTATTGGAGAAGGGAAGAAGAGAGGAAAATGGTGGCTAAGATGCAGAACTTGATATCGCAGTGTCTCTCTTGATAGCTTGGATATCTGTGGTTGCAAAGACGGGCAAGCCGTCGGAGAGGCCGCCGCGATCGCAAATCTTCAGCTCGAATAGATCGGAACTGGAGTCGGAGTCCCCGTCATCATCTTCCACCTCTTTTCCTGTTCTACCGAAGGTCTTATTTCTTCCCCTTGGCCATGCACCGTTCGGCACCTGTTTGTTCTCCCAGTTTTCTCTCTCCTTTGACACCTCCGTGATACTTCTTCTCCTTCCCCTTACCTCACTTCGTGGGCAGAAATTGCTGGATTTGGTGCCAGCGGTCTTGGTGCTTTGAGAATGGCCGGTGATGCTTCTTCTTCTCTCCTTCTGATCTCCAGGTCTCTTCTCCACCTCTTCCCCATCCTCTCGTGGCTCTCTGGACGTCGAGGTGGGATTCGAACACTTCGGCTTCCTCCGAGAAGCCGCTTGATGGAAGAAAGAGTTGAGATAGCCGACTAATTTAGCTCCAGGGGAGCCAGGTTGCTTGCCGCACTTCTTGGCTCTCGTCAGCGAGGGACTGCCGCTAATTAGTCTCCCATCTGAGCTCCTGGGCACCGTCTGCTCGACTGCAACAGCTCCACGAGGGCCAAATCCACCTACGAGACCTACGCCGTCGGTCGCATCAGAGAAGTACCGCGTCGCCTCGAAGACGCCGAGCTCGTCGGACTCATTCCAACTGTTGAATCGCTCCCTGTAGCGGTGATTCATGCTGGAGAATCCCTTGCCGGACATCAGGGAAGACATGCAGGCGTCGACTCCATGCATAGGTATGGGTTGGGGACAGTGGGAAGACACCTCTTTGTTATAAGGAGCAGTACCCACATAATAACGTTGATCATTCGTTGTTATCCGCAAACAATGGGATGTTATCAGCAATGCAAGCGACTCGACGCACGCGTGCCGATGAGACATCAGCTAAGCTGCAATCCATGTGCTTTATATTCTCCAGTGGTTGGACAAGCCACCCGCAGCCAGAGGTTTTCTTTCTAATGTACAGAAGTGCAGCTGTTCTCTTCCGCTCAGCTCCACACGCTCTAAAGCGAGAGCATCACATCTCTTCCACCTGTATTCCTCGGCTGGAAGATGTGAAGGAACGAAGGGTGGAGGCTCATTTGTCAGCATTGGCAAGAATAACATAGCTTACGCCGCTGCCGTCCGTCGCTTTTGCTGGAGGAGAACCGGAACCGGAGCCCGAGCAATTCCTTTTCACATCATTAAAGGAGGCGATAACGAGGTGCGGACTGGACCACCAGCTCTTGTTTGTCTTCTCGATTGACCATGAGAGCTTCTGCATCACGCTTTCGAGGAAAGAAGGGATGGTATGGGCTTGAGCTCGATCGACAAGCGCGTCCGTCGATTGCCCGTCGTTTTGTTCGCCGGATGTGTGGTCTGGAGATCAGATATGTACAGTGAAGGCTACAGCATTGTCATCGCATGCGATGCAGGGCTTGTGGTGTTTGGTACAAGATTTGATAGCTCTCTATGATGCTTGTTCTGCTTCGCCTCTCGTCCTAAACTCAAGCATGGCTGAATCTGATTTAGTTTTGTGTGTGGAGAGCAACGAGAGAGAGGGACTTTATTGTGCATAAATAAATAAATATCATATATATATATATGTATATATATATATGTCATGAACCATACTGTTCTAAGGAACTTTCTAATAGTATTTCATCTTTATTTAGCTAGGTAGGATTCTAACGTAAGACCAAAACAAAGAAAAAACTAAAAAGGAAAAGCAAATTTAGTGCGGAATCCTATCAAATTTAGTGCCACATGATATCAAAAAGGAGAAGGTAAGAAAGGGAGGAAATCAATCACCAAGTGGACTAGCAACTCCAGATGGAATCAACGAAAAGGTAGTGACAAACCCTAACAGATGACTCAGACAAGACGAAGGAGGAGGTGAGAAGGACAAGAGCTACCTAACAATTACGTAACTGAGTCCATTAACCTCGGATGCTCTGAATAATGCTTCTCAGCAGTATTTATCTCGATGAACAGTTAGACAATTGCGTGAGGTTGGCGTGATCCCACCTAACGTAGGCAGAAAAGGATAGATAACCTTGGAATACTTTCCCGAGCGTTGGATTTCGTATGATACGAAACCGGGGATAAAAACCATGTTCTCAACGAGGCTTTTGGTGATTCGCGACTGTAGTCAACGACAACAGCGACTCCTCGTTGAAAAGAAGAGCTTTTTTTTTTTTTCCCCTTTACGGATCCGAGCTGATCAAGTGCAGTACGCCTCCACTGTTGGCCGTTCTTTCCCTGTCTCTGTCTCTTCCTCTTTGTCTTCAGTTTGGTGTGGTGGAGATCATCCTGTTCTGAGCTCTCCACGCGATCGGGTGCAGGTCTTGCATGCTTCGGCAGCTTTTCCTTTTTCCTCGCTTTCTTTTAGCTCGTCATCCAAACGATTGGTGGCTTATCGATGAAGACGAAGACCAAGGAAGGCGGAGACCACGGAGGTGGCGGAGGTCCAAGCACCCGAGTGGTCCGCACCTAGACAGGTGGCAGCCTCGTCGCCGACGGAGCCGCGGGGCCCGCAGGTACGGTGCGCTCGCGGGCGCAGCGAGAGGGGAGGGGGACCGCCGACGTGACCCCGCCACGTCGTCGCACCGGGGTGCCCCGCGGCGGGTCCGCCCGCGCACTTCCGGGCCGTCCCGGCGTCGCGAACCAACACAGACGCGTGCCATCGTCGTGGTCCTCGCGGCCGCCACACTCCGCCGCACCGGTTGCTGCCTATGCGCCACCCACCCGCGGGAAGTAACTCAAGCTCGCGGTATCAAATGACCAAAGGACCCCTCACGTGATCCGTCTTTGCTCCCTTATTTGGCATATCAGGGGTATTTTGGTCATCAAAGAGTTCCAATCAACCTCTTCGGACTTGATATCGTACACGCTCCTTCCCCCACCTGCGTCTCTGCTCCTTATATATTACCGGCTCCTCCCCATCTCCATTTCATATTTGACCTTTACCTCCTCCGTCTAAGGGAAAAGCTGGTTCTCCCCAATGGCCTCCAAGGGTGATAGGAAAGGTGAACCTCCGGTTTCGGAGGAGGGGGTGGAGAGATGCCCCGTCGAGGAGGTGAAGCTGGTGGTCCCGGAGACCGACGACCCGTCGCTCCCGGTGATGACATTCCGGGCGTGGTTCCTCGGCCTCACCTCCTGCTCCCTCCTCATCTTCCTCAACACCTTCTTCACCTACCGCACGCAGCCGCTCACCATCTCCGCCATCCTGATGCAGATAGCCGTGCTGCCCATCGGTCGCCTAATGGCCTCCGTGCTTCCCGACAGGGAGGTCAATCTGCTCCCCGGGTGGGGTTTCAACCTCAACCCCGGCCCCTTCAACATCAAGGAGCACGTCATCATCACCATCTTCGCCAGCTGCGGCGTGTCCTACGGCGGAGGCGACGCCTACTCCATCGGCGCCATCACGGTGATGAAGGCCTACTATAAGCAGAACTTGAGCTTCCTCTGCGCTCTCCTTATTGTTCTCAGCACGCAGGTAGAATATAGAAAAATGCCTCCTTTCCCTTCTCTCTCGTTCCGCTTTGCATGTACTTCTCGCTCCCTCTGCTTTTCTGATATTTCGATCATGATTATTAATCGCTGAAAACAAAGTGATTGCTTGACCTTTCCAGACTATTATTTTCATGTAATTTTGGATTTTAGATTTACAACTATTTCATTGTCTTTGACTTGGTAAGCAGATGTAGTGTTGCCGCTGACATCTCTGTTTTGGAAAGTGCTATAAATTTTCTTGGGTCCTCTTTTTGCCTTTGTTTTCCTGTGTTCGGTGGAGTGTTGAGTTTTCACTGTGAGGAATAGATTCACAATCTTCTCATTTTTCGGGAGAGAGAATTCATATTCTGATATGGTCAGAACTTTTTGCTATGATAATCTACTCATTTATTTTGTTTTCTCAATGTTCTTGAAATTTAGATCTTGGGTTATGGGTGGGCTGGAATGATGAGAAGGTATTTGGTGGAGCCACCTGAGATGTGGTGGCCTTCTAACCTTGCTCAGGTCTCCCTCTTCAGGTCAGATGCCTCTCTCTTTCTCTCTCTCGTCCGTCACATTCTGCTTTGTCCAATGGTTCCAAGTTCCCTTGTCTCTTTCCATGGGCAAATATCAAGAGAATAGAAACAGATTTATCAGAATCAAACACCTCTGTAGTTGGAATTATTTATATATGTCAACGTAGACAACCTTAAAAAGATCACCAGAAGATAAATCACAGATTTTGAGATGCTTGTCGACTTCACTGATCAATGGAGTGATGCATGTCGCAGAGCTTTACACGAGAAGGACTCGAGATCGCAAGGGCTAAGCAGGATGCGGTTCTTTCTCATCTTCTTCGTCGCGAGCTTTGCCTACTACACGTTGCCCGGCTACCTCTTGCCCATACTGACCTTCTTCTCCTGGATGTGCTGGGCATGGCCTCGTAGCATTACCGCACAGCAAATCGGGTCGGCTTACCATGGCCTCGGAGTCGGCGCATTTACTCTCGACTGGGCGGGCATCTCCGCGTACCACGGCAGTCCTCTGGTGACGCCCTGGTTCTCCATCCTCAACGTGGCCATCGGCTTCATCATGTTCATCTACATCATCGTCCCCGTGTGCTACTGGAAGTTCAACACCTTCGACGCCCGCAAGTTCCCCGTCTTCTCCAATCAGCTCTTCACTGCGACAGGGCACAAGTACGACACCACCAAGATTCTGACGCCGGATTTTGACCTCAACGTAGCCGCATACGACAGCTACGGCAAGCTCTACCTCAGCCCTCTTTTCGCACTCTCGATCGGGTCAGGATTCGCGAGATTCACGGCAACCATTTCCCATGTCCTCCTCTTCCATGGAAGGTGCTCGACAAAAGTCCTCCATATTTACTTTCGCAGGTGCAAGCACACGAATTCCGATTCTTCAAGAGACTCGACTGATTTCCGCTTCCTACTAACTTGTAGCGATATATGGAGGCAAAGCAAGTCAGCGATGAACTCCCTGAAGCTGGACATCCATGGCAAACTGATGCGGAGATACAAGCAAGTTCCTCAGTGGTGGTTCGTCGTTCTACTGGCGGGAAGCATCGTCTTGTCGCTGATGCTGTCGTTTGTTTGGAAAGAGGAGGTGCAGCTGCCTTGGTGGGGGATGATATTTGCCTTCGGTTTGGCTTGGCTTGTCACACTTCCCATCGGAGTCATTCAAGCAACCACGAATCAGGTAATCCAAACAAAGAGTGCAGCTCCTAAGTTGCTGATATTGAATCTTTCGATGATGTGAACTAATATGGTGGCTCATTATAGCAACCTGGATATGACATTATAGCCGAGTTCATGATTGGGTATGTCCTTCCGGGCAAACCTATCGCAAATCTGCTGTTCAAGATCTACGGAAGAATCAGCACCATCCATGCCCTTTCCTTCCTCGCAGATCTGAAGCTTGGCCATTACATGAAGATCCCACCTAGGTGCATGTACACTGCCCAGGTGATCTTTCTCTCCCGAAGACAACATCATTCGATGATTCAGGTGTTTGTTTCTGAGCCTCGATTTCCATCTCTCAGCTGGCAGGAACTGTTGTCGCCGGAGTCTTGAACCTATCTGTGGCTTGGTGGATGCTCGAAAACATCGAGAACATCTGCGACGTCGATTCACTGCATCCCGATAGCCCGTGGACATGCCCCAAGTACAGAGTCACCTTTGATGCGTCTGTCATCTGGGGGCTTATAGCCCCCGGGCGACTCTTCGGGCACGGCGGGTTGTACAGGAACCTGGTGTGGTTGTTCCTCGTCGGCGCCGTCTTGCCCGTTCCCGTGTGGGTGTTGAGCAAGGTCTTCCCGGAAAAGAAGTGGATATCTCTCATCAACGTACCTGTCATCACCTACGGCTTCGCCGGAATGCCACCCGCGACCCCAACCAACATAGCCAGCTGGCTCATCACCGGCACCATCTTCAACTACTTCGTCTTCCGATACCGAAAGGTGTGGTGGCAGCGGTACAACTACGTCTTGTCCGCAGCGCTGGATGCAGGTACAGCATTCATGGGCGTGCTGCTCTTCTTCGCTCTCCAGAACCAGCATCACAACTTGCACTGGTGGGGCTCGGAGCTCGACCACTGCCCCTTGGCGTCATGTCCAACCGCGCCTGGGATATCAGTTAAAGGATGCCCAGTCTTCTAACCACGAGCTTGGCTGTTACTGCATTGCCGTAGAGAGTTCGATCGCAGGAGGACAAGGACAAGCTCCGAGAGATGTGGGTTGGTTCTTGAGATCATCTTCTTCTTCTTCTTCTTCGCTGTGTTGACTGCAGTTCTCCGTGTTTGGATTTTGAGACTGCAAAATGCTTGTCTATCATCCGTTTTGTTCTAATTTCCCTTCTTTACCTTCTCCATCTCCTCCCATGTATCCCCAGAGCATGATCATACTGTGTGCAAGGACCACTACATAAGGCTGGCTTAGCTGCCATTTACGACCAACTTACATGATCACCAAATACTACATATATAATATATATATATATATATAATCTATTATATATTATGATTGTTTCAAAAGAATTATGAAACGTATGTGATAAACGTGACGGGCTAATATAATTGTGTCTACAAATAATGGAAATGCTTTTGTGCCTTATTTGGATTCATGAAGGTGGCAAAGTAATTGCAATGAACGGTTCAATCATAGTTAGATACATGCATTTCCATTATGGAGTAGCGGCACAGTTAATTGTCACAAGCATCAGGGAATAATAATAATTTTGGTGCAAAAAGAGTGAATAATTCCGATTTAGATTCATGAACGAGGGACTGTACAATGCCAAGATAACAAAGTTAGTAATGCACCCACCAACTTGCATTACTTACGTGAAGAAAGGATCTGTGAAATGACCCACATTCATCCGTTATTGGGGCACTTAAATCACAATTAGCGGATGTAAATTAACTAAGATTAAGAAGAATTGATGAGAAGGATGAATGTAATTCTGCTTAGTTGTATAGGTTGAGTTGTAAATACGGAGGTAGCTGCGACGGGTGTCAGTTTCACGTATAATTTAATGGTATAAATAATAAGAAATCCAACGCAGAGAGAGCAGTCTTACCACCCGCTCGCTTTGCTTTCCATTTCTTACACACCACATGCCAGCCGAGAGAGGCCGACGCACACCCCCACCATCCACACCCACCCTTACCCGTTCCGCCTCGCTACCTATTTATATATTGCCGATGCGATCTTCTTCCCCCTCCTCTTTTCCTCTCCTTTAGATAGCCAGGTATGTGTTTGATGTAAAGACCACCCCCCATTTCTTCCGGTTCGCTCCATCTCCCTTTGTTCCGTGAGGCGGGCGGAATTGGAGGAAGGAAAAGGAATCGCTAAAGCTAAAGAATAGTCCTTAATTTATTCGTTCGTTCATCGATCGAAAGGAGAGGAAGAGAACGATACGGAGAGAAGGAGAGGGTAGGAGGCTTTTGTTCTCTTTATGTCGTTGTTATTGTTGTGGTTGTGGTTGTTGATGATGATGATGCTGAGGATCCTCTGATTCCGCCTTCCAGATCTTGGCAACGCCTCCGATCTCTCTTCTCCCCCGTCGCATCTGACGCCGGCGCTTCGGATCGGTGAGCCCCTCCGTAGATGCGTTGTTTCTTTTGATTTCTTCTTGGGTTTTGTTTTTGCGCCGGTCGCAGACCGCGAATCCGATCCTCTGATTCTTTCCGTTCGGCTTGGATCCATTCGCTGTGCTGTTGTATTCTGTTTCGGCTTGCCCGATTTGGCTGGGCATCGACGGCGAGCTCCACGGCCGGGTCTTCTTTTCCCGTCAGATCTGGCGTCATGGCTAACGTCTGGCGTCTTTTCTTCTCGCCTAAGCTGTCTAATCTGTTGGGAGAGTGGATGGAAGTCCTGGAATTGCTTCTCGAGATCGATCAGATCTAATTCGAATCAACAACTCACCCTTTAAAGTTGAATTCTTTTATATGTTCCATCAAATCGGTGGAACTTTATCTCCTATTAGTTATTGTGCATACCTGTCCTTAATTGTTGGTATTGTGTTTCATCCGATGATGATCGTGACAACGGGAACTTAAAGATGTTTAATTTGCAGAAAAGAGAATGCAGTCGGATCTTGGGAAGCTGTTCATTGGTGGGATTTCCTGGGACACAAATGAGGACCGCCTGCGGGAGTACTTTAGAAACTACGGTGAGGTGGTGGAGGCTGTGATTATGAAGGACCGCACCACCGGCCGTGCTCGTGGTTTTGGGTTCATTGTGTTTGCAGACCCGGCCGTCGCGGAGCGAGTTGTCATGGAAAAGCACTTGATTGACGGCCGAATGGTAAAGTTCGAACCGTTTGTCTTCTACCTTCTCTATTCTTTTCCCCACCTGAATGTATTTAGGCATCCTTGTAATTCCATATGCTTCATGCATTGCACTTTATGCAAATTACAATTATGCATTTGTGGATACAAGTTCATGGATTTTGAATTCTGAGAATTATTGATAATCAGCAACATTTTTTCTTTTGTGATTCTGATGATCAGCAACTCACTAATGAACTTGTTAAACTGGCGATCGATTTCTCAGGTTGAGGCAAAGAAAGCTGTTCCCAGGGATGACCAGCAGATCCTTAATAGAAACAACAGCAGCGTCCATGGTTCTCCTGGTCCAGGTGGTCGCACCAAGAAGATATTTGTGGGAGGCCTGCCATCTACCCTAACGGAGAGTGATTTCAAGAAGTACTTTGATCAATTTGGAACAATCACTGATGTTGTTGTGATGTATGATCACAACACCCAGAGGCCTCGGGGATTTGGTTTCATCACATATGACTCCGAGGATGCTGTGGACAGGGTACTATTTAAAAGCTTTCATGAGCTGAATGGTAAGATGGTTGAGGTCAAGAGGGCTGTTCCCAAAGAACTATCCCCGGGACCCAATATTCGCTCCCCTAGTCCAGGATATAACTATGGTCTGAATAGGGCAAACAGCTTTCTTAATGGATATACTCAGGGATACAATCCAAGTTTGATTAGTGGCTATGGGATGAGGATGGACGGTAGGTTAGGTCCCATTAGTGCAAGGAACGGCTTCACTTCATTTGGTCCTGGTTTTGGAATGGGGATGAATTTTGAACCTAGTTTGATCCCAAGCTTTGGAGGAAATTCAAGTTTTAGCAACAATATTGGTTATGGACGTGGTTTGAGCCCATATTACAGTGCCAACTCCACGAGGTACAGTAGTCCCATCGGTTACGGTGGGGGTAGTGCAAATGCTAGTTCGGGATTTAGCTCAGTGACTCGTAATGCATGGAGTGGTGGAGATCTTAACTATGGTACTAATTCTGCAAGTTCCAATGCCTATATGGCCTCAGGGAATGGGAGCCTTGGAGGCTTTGGCAATAGTACCATAAACTGGGGCAGTGCTACTCCTATATCAGCTCAGGTTGGGGGAGGCACTTCAAGCTACACTAGTGGGAATCTTAACTTTGGAGGTGGTGACAATAACTTCGATCTCGGTGGTGGCAGTTTTGGAAGGAGCACTGGTCCTAGTGTAGTGAAAACTTCCCTTTCTCCATCAAGTGGTGGATTTGAAGGATCCTATGCGGAGCTGTATGGTGGAAGTTCAGTTTATGGAGACCCTACTTGGCGATCATCATCTTCTGAACTTGGGGGCACTGGCTCATTTGGTTATGGGCTTGGCACCGTACCTTCAGATATCATAGGCAAGGGCTCTGCTGGTTATGTGGGTGATTATAATGCTACCAATAGACAACCAAATAGAGGTAAGCAGTTTATTTAACTCTAATCAATTTGATTATATACGTATTTCTTGTTTACCCCTTGAGAAACAAAATAGAGCATGATCATGACGATAGATATGAAACATGTATGAACCAGATTTAGGTGTCATTATGAATGAACTATTTCACGCATCTTGTGGATCTTCAAGACCACTGAGTTATGTAATTAACTTTTCAAATTTTCAACTTTAGGTTTTAACTATGTAGTGAAATTCCATATATAAAGTTCATATTCTTTCTCTTAATTGTGATGTTGGTAAAAGATGTTGCTGCCTACTATTTCAATACTTGGTATATGCTGGGTATGTGTTTGCATATGCACATATCAAATCTTCATTAATAACCATACATTGTTTGCTAGATATTAAAGAACTGGTGTCATGTCACAAATTCAGCATTGAGCCTCACTTGGTTTATTTTTAATAAGCACCACAATACATATAGATCACTGAATGATACCTGTTTGCTTCAGCTACCTATGATGGCGTGCTGAAATTTCAAGAAATCCTTTCATGAGATTATGATGAGTTGTTTATGCCCGTGAAGGAAAAATCTGCTAACTCCTCTAATTGATAAAATAAGTATTACAACATTGTTGGTAATAGCTACATATCTAACAGATGCGTTGAGAGAACTCAGTTCCAATTGTAGAAGATAATTTATACTGCCGAATTTATGTAGATGAACAGAAAACTGTAGGATCTATTAAATCAGAGCATATGCTGATCCTAGATACTGCTGAAAAATACCTCTCACTACTACATTTGGCTTCCTGGGTGTCGATCCTGTCAACACATACAATCCACCTTGATTCTTTAACCTCCCTCTCTTTTTGTATGAAGCAGTGGCTCATGGCACTGTACGGATTGGCCGTATAGCAGAGTTTCCTTTATAAGTAAGAATGGTTGCACTGCCTGAAATATTAGTCATCCAGTGGTTGGTTTTATAGTTGCAAACTATATATTCGTAGTCCTGCTGACACAATTTGAAGTTTGAACAAAGCATTAGAAAACCATTTAATTCATTCACAAGAAGTCCTGTACTGCACCTAGTACACTTGACATGATCTTGATGTTGTTCTTTGCCTTGGAGAGCTGGAGCGCCATCAAAACTCTGAGCTTTCTTGATGGTCTTTGAGGTCCTGAATGCTGAGTTCCGCTTGTCTTGGCACTTTACTCAACAGAATTTCTCATATACGATTCCCTCTCAACATAGTGTTATCTTCACTTTTCAAACTGTTCACTATATAATTGCATGGTATCAATGGAAATGCTACTTGGTTACATAGGACCTTCCTAATCTTCTCTCAGTGGCAAAAAGGCTAAGACCAAATTTTGTTTTAAGTTGGTTTTTTTTGTGCATTTGAACGGAGTCAATCTTTCATAAAAATGCTTTCTTGAAAGATGGACGTATCTCAGGTATGTCTTCGAATCTTTCTCATGCATCATCTTTTATATTTCAACCAGTCATACACAGTCTTCAAGTGCATACAAGATGTACAGTACCTTCTCCACATCTGAGCTTTCTGCAACTATGAGAGGGTTTCAGCTAGATATCGCAGGAATGTGATCATTTGAATTTAGTTATCCAACACTATACAGGAACTTCTATTGTCCTTGTCCTGGTTGTCATACTGCCCTTGTTATGCCGACCCAACCATGACTCATACTAATTAAAAATTAGACCATCATCACCTCCTGGATCAAGTGCAAGTCCAACATCCACCCAATTGGATCTAAAATTAACACCAAATATGACTATATGAATTTCAGTCATTCAAGCAAAAGACATTATGTATTTACAATAGTATATGATCAGTCTGAACTTGTCATATACAAAGGCCATATTAATCAGCACAATGAAAAATCCTCTGATATTTGTGTGACAAAGGGTCCTAGCATTTAAATCCTTAACAAGGACTAGTGTTTCCTAAACTCAGTAAATCTCTTATTCCACATGGTTATCACACCCCAACTCACTGGTAGACAGTTGGATACAAAGAAGGGCTCTTTAAAGGCTTTACCTGCTTTAACTGATCAATTATAGAGTTTCTAAAACAAGTTTGTGATAGAATGCCTAATTTCCATCTTTAGAAATGTCAAAGATAACACCATAATGTTCACCATCACATCCACATCCAACACAATTCTACTCGATTCAAAATAAAACATGATAGTATTTGGCATGGTACTCATCATATTGGTGCCCTACATCTATGGTACCCACATTCTGTTGTCTATAAATGGAAGCCAACATGTTCACCTGAATCTTTTTAGCAGATCAAACATGTCATTAAAATGTAATTGCACATATTTCAGCAAAATAACGTTATATTTTAATACAAACCCTTGCAAACATTAAGAATTCTGCCTCCCAAATCCCAAAAGAAATATTTTATAAATAGCAATGAATCCTAGAAATATGGCTCTACTAATTGTTGTACTAAAGGTCCTGTTAACTCTTGTAATCATGGTGGAATGGGACTGAGGGTTCCTATCAGTACCTGGGAAAATTTGTTTATCAGTAACAGTTTCATGTAGCCTCTATTACAACCCAATGGAGAAATAAGTAGCGAAGGCAACAAAATCTTACCTGAATGGCTGAATCTTTTTAGCAGATCAAGCATGTCATTAAAATGTAATCACACATGTATTTTTCAGTAAAATCCTTTATTGTTTAAGACAAGCCCTTGCCAACATTAACCTGGAAGTATGCTCACAGGAACTTGTGTCTACAGGCATTTACGGTTGTTAAGATAAACCCAAATTTGGTGAATTGGTTTGTTTCGTGATCCCACCAAGTCAGTTATCGACTTGCTTGAACATGATGTTTTCAGTTTCTCCATATGTTCTAGTACTTTTCATTTTCTAATATAAATAATAGAAGCTGTCCATGTTAAAATCAGATCGATAAGACCATATGATCCAGTTGTAAGGATAACTCTGGTTTGCTTCTGCTTGTTGAGAGTTTATTGTTATGTTTCATCATATGATTCAGTTGTGTTGCAGTTTGTGTGGATCTCAGATGCAACTCTCTGAACCCTAGTGATGCACCAAGTAAATTAGGTAGAAGGTTTGCTCAACACCAGAACCATGAACTAATTATCTTAGTTTCAGGAAGCTATATGCCATTGATTACATATGGACACGGTTTTCAACAAATGCAAAAGCTTCAAGACGCTTATATAGGTACAACTAGAAACAAATGACTAATATGCAACTAAATAGAGGAGGCTGTCTTTTCCCTGAAGGTGATTTATAAAATAGACTCTATTCTGCTTCCGTATATTGTCTGGGTAATAAGTCAAATTGTGTTGCCCCCTCTTTCTTATCTTTCCTTATGTGTTGCAATATATGTTGGTAAAGTATGTTTCCTGACAAACATGTTCTCATGGAGCTGCAGTTTTCTTTTCGAGTTTTATACCATAAGAACTGTTCCTTTATTATTATTTTTCTCTTCTGATATTTAATATTTGTTGCAGGAATTGCCACATAAGTTGACACATATTGAGGTCCAAGACTATGATAGGTGAACAAATTGCGACTCAGATGCTTGACTTTGTGTTTTACATATCTCGTAAATTATATGGGTTAGTTAATTTTATAGAGCTAACCGTGGAGTTGTTTGGAAAAAAAAGAAGAAAATATTCAGATTCAGAAGATTCAAAATAAAGGTTCTTGTGTCGAGGTTTGGAATTCTGAGTTTAGTTCAAGCAGGTTTTGTTTCTTTCGAGTTTGATTGGGATGTAATCTTGTCAGTGGGTACATCCATAATTGTTCAGATTTATGCAACCAATGTGCCAAATAGACCTAGTAATTTTCTAAGAAAGGAAAGATAGCAAGCTCTGGTAATACCCGAGAATGGTTCTCGTCGGGAACTGTCATTCTTTTTTTCTTTCCCTTTTCTTATCGGTTTTACTTTTATCGAAGATTTGGTTGTCTTGTTAGTTTGGAACTCACATGGGTGCTTTCTGGTCCCAAAAAAAATAACTATACTATGTATTGTGATTGATTTTTGAAGTAACGTGCTTCATGTCATATTGAATGGATATGAATGTTTCACTTGATTTCGCTTTTGTTTTTGTATTTTGTTGTGTGTTTGTGTGTGTGTGGCCATTGCCCTGTGGGTTATATGAGTACATGACATGCTTTGCATATCAAATATGTAAAGTTAAATCGAATTTGTTTAGGAGGAAGATAATTGTGAAATACCAAAAAAGGAAAAAGTTATCTGCGTTTATATCATGTCGTATTAGGTTTAGACTATCAATAGGTTGACAGTTAACTCATCTCAGTTCCAATTGAGCATTGACTTGAACAACCATTCAGTAATTTCCCGAGGTTGAAGACGCCATGTTAGCCATAAATTATTTATGATAAAGCACACATATCCCTCCAATTATGTTGACTCTAATTGCGCTCTTCCCCTTCACATCTCTTTAAATAGTTCAGGTTTACCCTACTAATCTTGATTTAACAATAGCACTAAAATAATTATTACTATGTTATTTATGATGAAAAATCACATTTAAATCAACGAGTAAATGTTCTGTCTCATGAACAATTTCATTATTTTCATATAACGAAGATACTTGTTTAAATACCGATGAATATATAGATCTTATTATGGGAGTCGAATCGCTCAAGGTGAATCAAGCCAAATCATTTTTTTCGATTCGGTTCGATTAAAGTAAGATCGTCTAAATGGAAACCATCTATCTAATCGAATTGATTCAAAATCAATTAATTAGA